GTGGCCCTGCCTGCAGCAGAAGGGTTGGAACTTGATGGTCACAGAATCACAGAATGGACAAGGTTAGAAGGGACCTCAAGGATCACAAGTCTCCAAACCCCCTGCCACATACAAGGCCACCAACCTCCACATTTAATGCTAGACCAGGCTACCCAGGGCCCCGTCCAACTTGGCCTTGAATACCTGTAGGGATGGGGTCCCTTCCAACCCAAGCCATTCTATGATAAAGGGCAGGTATGAATTATGTATAGACCACCACTATGAAATCATGAGCTTCCGCACACCAACCCCAACAGCCTCCTGGCCTTGAGGCTTTCTCCAGCTGCAGAACAGCTCCATATCTGGGCCGGGCACAAGCTAGGCAGTGTTATCTTCCATTTAAGTACCTCTTTGCTATTTTGAGCATTGCCTACTTAAACACAGAGCTCGTTCTCCTCCTGCCTCACTGGAGCGTGTGATTTTGTCTCTGCAAGACCCCAGCATGCAGTTCACATGGAGGTGAGCAAGGACTTCACAGCTTTGTGAAGACCTTTCTCTCCTCCTCTGCTCCTACTGTCACTTCTTCACACACATCCATAGGAAAATTTCTACCTCCAAGTTACAGATCACCATAGAGTAACCCAGAGGCTGCTCCAAAGCTGGCACTCATCAGGGATGGCTCTTCCTTCTGACTTGTGGCTCTTACAGACGTTGCCCTTGGAGTAGCACGTACCATTCTCACATCATCTTACCAAGGAGCTGCTGCACCTGGTTGCTTACTCCTTTGGGCAAGAGACTGTGGGCTTACATTCCCAAAGTTGGGCATTGAGATTTTGGGATGGGAATGCCCAATTTGGCTATGGCACCCACTGCTGCACGGACCACAGGAGCTGCTAACTCAGTGAGTGGCTTCTCTGTTTCTGATGAAATGGCCCTTGGCTCAGTAATGGAACAGCTTTTCTGAAAACACAAACCAATAACCCACGCAAACTCTTAAAAGAGCTCATACAAAGATATCACGAGGAAAAGAAACACAAACCAAGACTATTATCCCAGGATGTTTTCACTAACTCATTCAACAGGTACACAGCAAACAAGACAGCAGGACCACAAAACCCATAGTGTAAGTGAGGAGAGCATCTGCCTCGAATTTTTCAGTGAAACAAACCCATGAAGCTTAATTTAATAAAAACCTCCTGCCACAACCACAAATAAAATCCTTCAAGGTTGGCTGAGTTTAAAGCCAGAAGCTGGCACTTCTTCAGAAGCACGACAGGGCAAGAGGAAGCTTCCTGCTTTGACACAGCTGTGAGGAGCAGGAGTGGAGTCCTGCAGCAGGGCCAGGCATTCAGAGAGCAGAAAGAGCAATTCCTATATCGTTCGCATGTGGGATATGGGCACTGTGCTGCTGCACAGCACAAAATAAATGTGAGGGGAAAGGTCCAGCACTGTGGGCCTATTGAATTAAACATTATTGCAGCTAACGCAATCAATACGGTATTGATCGCATTATCCATATTAATATTTAATTCAATTAAAAGGCCCCCAATTTATTGTTCTGTGCTTTTTTTTTTGTTTTGTTTTTAAAATGTTCTCCAAGACCTTTTATGCTGCAAAGAAAAGCTGAGCTCACACAGCTATTGCAACCCAAATGGTTATGTCCCTGCTGTACCCATCAGGAAGAGATCTCTGCTTCTCCAACCCGTGCTGGGAAGATACCAGCACTGCACCTTGCCACAGCACCACACAGGACTGCAAAACTTCCTTCTAATTATATACAAAGTGTTCCCTCTGCTTTTAAGGACAATTTAACACAAGTCAAACTACTGTTAATCTAAGTCAAACAAGTTTGAAAATGCAGAATGTGCTGTACTGCTATTAAAGACACCTGAATCTTCCTTTGTTCCCTAAGAAATGCTACTCATCCAGTAAGACCTGATGGTCCCCTTCTGGCCAGCTGGGATTCACAGGTGCAAACAATTTGCCTGTGCTCCCAAGGCTAACCACAGCCCTTCACCAGGTGCTCCATCACCACTTCAAGCCCTAACAGTTCCCCTATAAGGCCAAACTGGTTAATCTCAGTTAATCAGACAACAAATTCATCCTATTTACAAGAGCAAAAATAAGTCACCCTCCAGCTCCAAAGTACAAAGTAGCATAAAGAGGAGAAACAAAAAGCTTTTTTCTGCTACCACTCTCAATTGGCAGCACAGAAAGCCCAGGCAGAGGGACCAGGGACATTCACACATTTTCCCCAAACTAGCTTCACATGGCTGTAGTTTGAATGCTTTTCTCTTTGTTCTGAGCAGAAGCTTTGAAGAAGTTTTGTTATACAAAGAGCTGATTTGCTGGAAAACCAAAGGATAAAATAGAGCATCCAAATCAAATTCGGTATTCAGACACCAGACCAGCACAGGAATGCCACCAATGATAGCACAACCCTACTGGAATTCTTTTTTCTCCTGTGAGCCTCACCCAGGCTGACCGCAGGTTTGAGCCCTTTCTATGTTTGTTCTTCACCAGAAGAAGGCTAAGAAAAGACAGAAAATGAGAACTTTCAAAGCATGCCAGCTTTGCTTTTGAGATTAGAAGTACCAATGCTCCTTAGTATTACTTGTTATTTCCCCAAAACACCTGTGAGATAATGCAACATCCAGCTCTCCAACACCTTAAGTTCTTACAAGCCACTTGCTTCTTCCTTTCCTTTGAAAGTCACTTCTCAAATAACAAATGAATATTCAATCCTAGGGATAGCAATAACCATAGATAGGAAAAAAAAGCTGACTCACCCAGGTTCTCTGGTTGTAGAACACTCTTTCTCAGGAAGCAGCCTTCATTCAGCAGATGTTCTTCCTTTAGAGGCTAGCCTTTAAATGAACCCATGGAGGGCTGTGGTCAGGTGGGAAGCACAAGTGAATTACTTGCACCTGTGCTCCCTGGGCTGCTTCACCAGGTGCTGCTCATCAGTTCAGGCTGCAACAGAAGGGTTCCCCTACACCCACCAGACTCTTATTTTTAAGAAAATCCATCTCTTTCTCTCTAATTAAGAGGCAGGGAAGATATTTTAGATATAATAAAACAAGTAAGCAAATGTATAAACGTGCATTGGTATGAGCTATATATGATTATATTCTCTGGGATCTACCCAAGACAGCAATGCAAGGAAGCATCTCAATATTGTCAGGTATGTTTCATTCAATACACAGAACCATTCTTTAAAAAATAACAGTAATGAAAAAACATACTGGCCTGACCTCATATTTTTCCTTAGACCACAGCCATGCAGTAAGGTTGTGCAATATTGATTAAACATTACTTTCTATTATCAACAATAGCCTGATGCCACTGAACTGCAGACATTGCTACTGAAGGTGTTATCAGCTGTCCCAAATGAAGCAATTTGTAATGAAATACAGAGATAAATTTCAAGGGCAGTGGCCTGAAAGTCATTAGCTTGAGATTCACAGCATTTTTTGAGGTAAAAACATACAATTTATTTATAACATCTATAATCTAAAAAGCAACTATTGGATTTTTACCTCTTCCACGGAGCCAATAATCACACATTAAGCAAATGCATTTTCTCAGGACATTCAATAACCAAATTTGTTAGCAACCTTTAATGCTTTTGCTGATGATCTCCCTACTCCATGCCATGCCAAAATATCATAGCACCCCAAAAAGAGCACAGCTGTCTGTGCCTCTGCTCTGCTGACACCATATGAAATACCTTTTGTTTTGAGCTTGCCTCCTACTTACTTTAATGCATCCTCACTTGAAGGCAGTGAAAAATGACCCCTGCACACCCTTTGTTCCATGACTCATGGTTTTATAACCTTGTTTTTGTGAGCCAAAATCCAGTCATTGGCTTGAGGAGCTTGATTTATCCTTACTACAAGACTTTTTTCAAACGTGCTTTAATCAAGTGCTATACCTCTGCTTCTGATTAGCAGCACTGAATTAAGCAGTCTGCATCACTGAACTTTAGGCTTTGTTTTTTATGCTTACCAATTGGCTCGGCAGTGTTCAACAACTGCTTCAATTCTGGCATCAAAATCTCCTTCCAGTGCTGCAGGACTGCCCATAAGTTGATTCAGGTCCAAACTCCCACTCTCTGAAGGATAGACAAATAGACCAGAGTTAACATTGAGTGTACTTCAATTGGGAAGGCAAAACTTGCTGCTTTGATAGTAACTATTCTTGTTAACATTACCTGATTCAAAGGAATGAAATTAAACGTGAGCAAATTTGCAACAAGTTGAGTATTGCTTTAAAAAAAAAAGGCAAATTTCTAGTACAGCTTCTTTTCAGCTGCTAGAGAACAACAGCTCTGTAAATCTATTGCCTATACATAAAGAACATAGGAAGTTTCCTGATGTGCCAAATCCCTTCCTTGTGGATAGCAAAAAAAAAGCTCCACGCTTCAGAATTCTGCAGAGACTCGCTGTTACTTCTGCAAAGAATACCCCATTAGCTATATTGATGTGCTATGAAACATCAAGTTAAAATGTGCTACAATTGTTAAAATAAACGACCACATCTACACAGTATTGACTCAGTACCTTATTTGCTTCCAGTGTTTATCTGCACAAAAACCCAAAACACATTCATCCTGAGTTATTCCATTTGTTAATGAGCCTTACATTTCTGCTTGCTCACGCAGACCTGCAAGTACTTGAGAACTGCATTTAGTGAAGAGCAATGATTCAGCCTAGCGTAAGTGATAGACTAAGACACTCCAGCTGCTGAATTCTAGTAGATGCCATTGAAAACTACACCTGTTATCCATGAAGTGTGTATTTCCAACAGCTCTACAGAGGATATTTAAAATCTGCACGGGATCTCCAGTGGCAGTGATTACACAAAACAACTCGTCCTACAGAGCTTGAAGATAGGATACTATCTTGACAGCCTATCAAGTTCACAGAAAAGTACTTCACGTTTCCATTTACCTGTTGAGACACACATAGGAACTCTGCACTTATTCCAAAGCTAAGCTCATGCAATGAGACACTTCAAGGTGACTGACACTAAGTTTTATTGCAAGCAATACAAACACCTTGCACAAACAACTTTATTTTTTCCCCCCCCACAACCATCGTTCTCATTGCACATCGTGGCAAAAACAACATCTTTAAGTTAGGAATTCACAAATGCAATACATGCCATGTAATGCTTACAGCTCATAAGAAGCAAAATTCTGACAATAACTTATGATCAATTTGAGAAAGGAATTAACAAATAAGCAAGAATCAAGTACTGCTCCGATGCAGCAAAGTACATTTAAATACAATGGTGCAAAGCAAGGCATAATTGTTTTGTGATTATTTTTTCCATGTTACCATGATAGCAATCAATCTTTAAAGACATAATTTTTTAATCATAATTTAATAAAGGCTCTGACATTTAAAAACCTTCAGAAAATAGCATCAAATTACACACATACAAGAGAGAAAATGGATGGAAGTGAATAAAGCATGACTTGATACAAATAAAGAATTTTAGAACAAGATTTTCACAGATGCACTTCCAAAACTTTACTTTCAAATGAATTTGGGCCACTAGTTCTGCTTTGATTTCTACAAGGATTATCCTATGCCAAGAACTTCCTGTAACATTCAATTTTAAGTCACAAGGAGCATCACACATCATCTGATTGGTGTCTATAGAGGTGTATGACTTTTTTCTTAATAAATACAAATTCTATCCTGGCTGGGAAGTCTTGACACACATAGTAGATCCTTGTCAAAGCATACCAAACAAAAGAAACAGGGTCATGCTCTATCACCAACTAAGCTTGATTTAAGTCAAAATTCACAAGACTTCATTTTGCAAGATCTTATAAAATGTCAGTGATTATTACAGTGAAGTTAAATGTAAAAATAAAGCGTAGTAAATAATCCAAGGCACAACTTTTCAATGCAGCATCTTTTTTTTTTTCCCTATTCCATTGTCAGACCATTTATTCCAACCTATCACAGTGATCTTGGAATACAGAGGAGCTTTGACCATGTAAATGAGTTACCAAGTGCAAAACATAAATCATAGCTTCAGACCAGCGTTTTCCAGCTGCTGAAGATACACCACTTTTTAAAAGGTCTTAGTTGTGAGACAGGGATGTTCACTTTACAGGCAGCAGCTGAAATGACATTATGCAGTCTACAATCCAGCTGGAGGGAGCAAACCAGACTTTGCCTTGACGAATTTTCTCTGGTTTGAATTTAGAAGATGCATCATAGATGACATACTGAGTGCAAAATCTCTGGTCAGAAGTAGATTCTGCATGGTATGCCACCGTGTTGATCGTCTGTGTCACATCACTGTCTGGTTTCGGCTGCCTAACCAGGATTTGTCCTCCTCCTGCTTTGATCAGCTCCACAAGATCACTCTTCTGGTGACTTTTGAAAGATCCCAAGAAATAGAAGTAGCATCCGTCAAACAGCTTAGGCAGCTAAGGGAAGGAACATAAAAATAAGTATGAAAACAGGACTTCCCAAACTGAGAACAAAAAATGAAAGTGAACAATGAGTGCCCACAGGAAGTACAACTGAAAATAATCAACATGAGAAGCCAGAACAGTCACTTAACACATAAGGTCCTCAGTATAAGCATACAACTGAGCAAAGTTTGCTTACCTGGTAAATTCTTGCTTATTAAGAATTATTATTAATTGTTTTCCAGTACAACAAGATCTTCAGCTATCACCTAGGATTAGTCACAGCTACTCCTCCAGCATAATCAGAAAGTAACCAGAAATTAACCCAGTTAAATACTCCATGCTCTGATATGGAAATGAGATGAAATTCATAACATTTTTTCCTTTTAGATTATCTCAACTTCATTCCTAAAGCTGATCAGAGAGGGCCAAAGCAGCATCACTTGCTGTCCCATGCAGCTTCTTCCATAAACGTAACAGAGCTTTCCCTCTGACAAGGTTATGGCAACATAACCACTAATGGAGAAAAATGACTGCTTTATGGATGTTCGCAGTTCTTTCCATCACCTTGCACATAATCAAATTTCTGTATGAGGCCACATTAAAATTTTACATCTATTGCACCTGGACAAGAGGCAAAGGGCAAAAATGCACAAACCAAAGGTCATTAAGACAATCTGTCTCAAGCAGTAAAACCCACCAGCTGTTCTCTGTTGAGCCGGCCTCTTTGTGGGCCACCTTGGATTTCATACTTTTCCTCTTGTTCTCGAACTGTACTTTGTAGACAGGCTTGTACCCCTATAGAAACCACAATAAGGAAAGCATTAGTTATTTACAAATCTCACCATTAATTTAGACAAGTCCTTTTTTTTTTTTTTTTTGTAAACAGGTTTGTATTTCAATAAACAGCTGCACTTATCCATAATGCAAAGCACTGCACCCACATAGCATCAAATCTCGTGTGCTTTAGCAATTTTATTTTAGCCCGGGAAAGAAGTTACAGCAGTGGTTGTAAAGATGCAGGTCAGATGGAGAGAAGCAATATCACACTACGATCAGTGTTGTAAACACATGGAATTATTAGTGTTTCCTCTTAACTGCTACTAAAGGTCAACCACTTAATGTCAAATGTCAAATTGCTGAACATTTGGAAACTCAAAGCCAGCGAGGAGAACCAACTGTGCAGTTAAGAAATGGAAGCAATTGCCTGATAAAGAGCAATTACAAAGCAAGTACAAAGCTGTTTCTAAATAGGTATGGTCTTAGATAAATCAGATGGGATTTGAAGGTCTCCAAGATCAGCAGAAACTGCAGGTTTACGCTGAGGTTTCAACAGTGGCATTTATTTTTGTTACCACTGCTGCATAATGAGATTGTCTTTTACAGTCAGCATGGTTTTACCTTGTTTTAAGGCTTTTTTGTTTTTTTCCCTAATCTAAAATGCACTGATGCTGATGTATCACTAACATTTGTGAAACGTACCTCCTGACCTGACTCTGGAAAGAGGAATTGCTGGGGTCATCTATTCAAGGATGGAACATTTTGCCTGCACTCATTTATAAAAATTACCTGAGAAAGAAACTTTGCAAAACTGTTCCATGAGGATTACAGAGTTGTCACAGTTCAACTTCCAGAGCAGTTCTCATTCCTCAAACAGTGCTTTTATTTAGGCAACTTACTTTTTTCCTATGCAAATTTGGGAACCACAATATCTAAAGAAACACAACCAACTGAACAAAACCAGAAATGAAGCAGGGGTGTTGTTCTTAAAAGAAGAAAGCCCAAGACTATGAAGCAAACCATCAATGATGAAGGTGCTTGATTCCCACAGGAATAAATAGCAGTATATAATCCCAATCTAGAGGGATCTTTAAAGTGAACCAGATTTGCTGCTGCTCCACATAAAGTGGCAAGATGCAAAAGGAATTCACATTTCAGCTACTAGAAGTCTTACAATTTACTTAAATGAAAAAAAAATAAACTTATACAGAAAGAAACAACTGGTTAGATAATATGACAATACACGTTTCCCCCTCCATGTATAGGTATGAGGTAGTTGCACGTGGTAATTTCTTCAAGAAACATTGATATGAACTCACATAAAACTGGAAGGGCAAGCTAGTCGTGTATTTTCTTGAAAGTAATTTCTGCATTTATTACTCATAACAGCAATGTATAGAGATAAGCTATTTTCAAAGTGCTCCTAACTAGAAAATAAATCTGAAGGCTATATCAATACTTTCCTTAATCATCACTATGTAACTGGATTTCCTCTATCAATTTATTTCAAACTTATAAGGTCATTTTTTCAAGAAAGCTTGGATGTTAATAGGCATCACTCACAGTAAAAGAAAAATCTTCTCAGCTAGTCTTAAGAGCAAAGCTGTCCATTCATTAAGAGCATGAGTTATTTCAATTTATCATCAAAAATTCAACTTGAGGGATTTTCCACTACAGAGCTGAGGTTTATGTGTAAGAGTACATCACAAATTGATCATCTAGTGCCAGCATCAGTAAATAGTGCAAATTTGATATCAAATAAAAGGCTGAATAAACACAGAAGGCTACAATGTGTTCTTGTGCAATTACTTCTCTGAAAGAAAAAAAAGTCACAGATATCTATTTTAACAGAAAATGTAACACAGACCTTTGCATACATACATCTGCCCATTCTACACTGCCAGTTTCTCTAGCTAATCTGTAGGCACCAAAGTTCTTTGTTACATTTAGTGAAAATCCTCCACGACTCATCCAGATGTGTCTTCTTTCACTGTCTCCATAAGAACCCAAAGTATTTGTCTCCTTGAAAAACTGGAAGTATGCAAACAGACCATTTTTTAGCACCACTAACAGTTTCCTCATCAACTTTAACTTATCTTAACAGCTAGAGTAAGGAGAAACTTGTCCCTTAATAGATTTGTGGCAAAGAAGTGATCTATTTGAAATAGAGTAAAAAGCCCTGAACCTACACTCTCTGTATCCAGGTGTTTTGCTTTTTTTTTTTTTAAACATTAGTATGTTAAGAGGCAACACTGTTAGGCTTTTACACACTCCTTTGTAGAGCAATACTCTGTGTGTTCCCTGGTGATGGAAAAGCACTGTATTTTCAATTGGAGAATTCATTTTTTATATACAATATAGAAGCAGAACTTGCTCTGATTCATGGGTCTTATCACATTTGGTAGATAGAACAAACATTACTTTTTGGATCCACAGATCTCTGGGACATTTCAAGCAGCTATCTAGCACTTTTGTGTGCAGGCAGCAAAGAGTTTTTGGAGTCCTCAAGCTGAGATGATGTGATGCCTCAGGATTCAACATGCATCACAACAAATGCCCTGTCCATGGGTAAAGTTGTCCTTACAGGTAGGGAGTGAAGATGTTTAAGTGGTAGAAATCAGTACATTCTTCAACTTCAGACTTTGTTCAGAATCATTTCTTCCCAAGTTGGTCATTTCTCTTCAGCAACTCTTGCATGGTAATACAAGACTTTGTAGGTGAGTGTTAAACAATTCACACATCATTAATGCAATAGAAAAACTGAAATATCCCTCTGTTCTCATATTTAAGATAAAAAGACAGAAGACTCGAGTTGTGTTTCTATCCAATTCATTACATATACTTGTCTAAGACTTATTTGCTTCCTCTCTGTCTTGCCTTTTACCTACTCCACACCAAACCTAGTGCCAAGTCACTTGCTTCTACATCACTACTTCTGGATGCAGTGACTCCAAGTAGCTACCATAGTCTCAGTGAAGTTCAGGACAGAATAATCAGCTTTGGTTGTGGTATGGTCTCAGCTGGAAGCAGGAGGCACATGCAGCTCTATTATTCTTCTAAGACAACCACATGCTGGAAAAAATCTCAATTTCACTGTTAAGAGCATGAATACAAGCAGATGATTAGTGTACACTGTAGGCCTTCTGGTGTTTTGTTTTGTTTTTTTTTAAGTTTTTTTATTTTTATATTTTTAATACAGCCAGGAATATTATTTTCCGTGACAACCTCTGAGTGCCAAGTGGAGTTGACTCAATAAAGCCCAGGTCTTTTTCCTGAGTAGATCATATTAACTTTAATTGCTAATGTGTATGAGTGGCTGGATAACATGACCGCTCCCTTTTAATACCTTTTTAATCAGGATGACACTCAGCTTGACGGAGAGGACATATAAAAGGAAATAAAACACCACACTGTAGTCAAAGGCACTGCACTCTACTGCTTTCATAGGGATGTTTCCAGAAGCTCTGTGACCTTATAGCACTCCTATTTAAGTCAGAGGCACAATGCCCCTTGACTTCAAACAGTAGCTACATTAAATTGGTTTCCTGAACATCTTAGGTTGCAATCACTTGTTCAGCACTGTAAAGAGCCCCCAGTGAAAACTTGATGCCAAGATGCACACTGGACAAAAGAATGAAATGAAAACTAATGGCTATTAAAGTAATTAAAAGTCAACTAGTACACCATCAATACTATGCCTCCTCTTTTCTAAAACTGACAGGGGCTCTTATTTACTTTTGTAGAAGTCAGCACAGGAATCTCCATCTAAGAAGAGGACACCCTTAAAGAAGCTTATCATAACTAGAAGAGGAAGTAAACTTATGTTGAAAGGACACCCACAATTTTTCGAAGGGATAGAGATCAGAGTTGCATTATTTTCCTTCCCAAATTTATGGCTGGAAAAAAAAACTGGCTAATCACAAAACAGAATGAGGTCAATTTTTAGCCAAGATCTCAGCAAATGTTTGTTTATTGCCTGATACTATTGCCAATTTTTTTTTTCCTAAAGCAAAGATGATGATTACTGCAACTACACTTTAATGGTCCTTTAGTTTAATCACAGTAGTTGAGTCAGATATCAGTTACCAATACAAGAGGCTGTCTTCCATTCCAACGTGGACCAGAGCTGCTCTGCAATACCTAATGCAAGACTGCAAGCACTCATTAATAAGGCTTGCTGCCTGCCAGAAGATGATGCTGGGGAAAGGTCACACATGCAGAAGGGTCAGGCAACGTTCTTCACCAAAAATAAAGCATACTTGAAGTTTAAGAGCCTCTTAAATAGCTGGTTTCATACTTGCAATGTTTAGATATAAATAATATCAGTTGCACAAAATTCTAGCATAAACAGAGCCTGCATTAAAGGTCCCTAAAAACATTGCAGAGAAAGGTTTTGGCTTAATACCACTGCGTTTTAGGCTGATGTCACCACATTTGGAGGGACGAGTACTCCACACTCCTCATTAGCAAGATCAGTAAAGCACCACTACTTAAACTGATCCTTATTAATTCACTGAACATCTGGCCCCACCTCCTCACCTCCTAGTATTTAAGAAGCAAGGAGGTTAAAAGGGAGCCCACTAAGCAATACCATTAATTGACCTTTGATACAACTGCAGCTACTGGTGCTGGAAATAAAGAAATCATTACTTGAAAAATTTAAGATCAGAGCCCTGTAATCCTTATTAACGTCTTATTGGTTTATAATGAAACAAACTGCATCAGCAAAAACAGTTTAAACAGGGTGAAGTACAAGAAGAGCTGGATGCCAAGAACGTAATCACCCAGATACCCAGGGGTAGCTCTCAGTAACTCAATTAGCTTAGTGGAGGTTTTGTTGGATTTGCATTAATAGACCAGGGAGCAGGGGTTAGTCACAAATTTCTTTTGGAACAGCTAAAAGTAATTTAAAAAGATGCAATAGCAACAAAGAAGATGAAATACTACACAGACAAGATCCAGTAGAGATTGCAACTTCCTCAGCTCACTCTGCTTCTGCTCTGAGTTTTAAGACTTGTATGCAGATCGAGCAAAGCTTGATGAGATTATTTTCCTAAGAAAGGAGGAAAATTGGACTGAGACAGAGTGTTAGAGGAATTTTGTACAGCTAGCTTCAATTTGCTCCCTTAAGAACAATACTGATCTCTGCCATAGCACAGAAAGGAATTTTCATGTTGTCTTGTGGATTTATAAAGTAACTTCAGAATTGCACTTCTTCATGAAGTGAGATAGAGACCTCGTTTGGTGAAACACAGCCCATCTTTCCAAAAGATGGAAATACCACCAGATGCTGCAGACTAAAATTAATCTTCTTAAGAAGGAGAGTTAATAAGTTAATCCAGGTGGTATTTATTAAACACAATGGAGCAGATGCTTAGGAAGCCCTTAAATACTGATTGCCAGAAGCTAGGATCATGTAATATGAAAATCACCACTTTGCTTATAAAAAATAAAGAGTGGTTTTAAGCAATCGCCATTTGCCAGAGCTGTGAACAAAGAAACTAGAGGTAGCCATACCTGAGGTGAAGCTAGGTTAAATTTAGTCACTTGTTTTCTCTTCTGGAAATCCCAGCAGCTGCACAATCTAAATTTGTGCCAACTTAGACACAAAACTGCTTCCCTACACCTTGCCAGGAGGTGCCAGCCACTGTAGGAGTGCAGAAGTTTAGAAGCTGGTGGGTGACATGAAACATTCCTCTCTGCTGCACAGCCACCACAGTCGCACACATATGCATACTGGATATTTCTACCACCTCCTACAGAGCTGTGAGTCCTTTACAGCTGAAATAAGTCTCCAATGCAGAATAAGTGTGAAATTCTAGTTGTCAAAGATTTTAAGCTGCTTTAAGGAGGAAGTGCTTTGCTTTAGATAAACATCTTTATCTAAAAAGACTTATAGAAAATAGATAGCTCAGCCTGAGAAGAGCTGAATCAAACTAATCTGGCACTTCCCTTGTCTAATAGCCTAAACAAGGCTGTTCCAAGAAAATTTTGCTTGAAATGCCAGTCATGCAGTGCCCTGGCTCTTCCTGCCAACTCCCAGTTGTTCCAAGTCCTTACAAGAAGGGCAGGATTTTTTGCATTCTTGTAAGTGGTCGGAGCTGAGTCACTGATGCTGCTCCAAGTAAGCAAAGCAGATGAAGGAATCAGCAATTGGATACTTTGAATTCTCCAAGCTACTTTGCCAAAGACTGACACGAGCTTATTTCCATGTCTATTGTTATCAAGCCAGTTTCTCATTCCCTGCTTTAAAAGATGACAATAAGTGCTTAAGACAAAAGAAAAGCTGAAAAGCTATTAACTATTGCTGTTAGTTTTAATTATGGTCCTGTGATCTACAAAGAGGATAGAGGGAATACAGTATTACTTGAATCTTTGTCTCAGACAACTTGCAGAAGTATAATGATCCTCTACTTCTGCCCTAATACAGTCTCAGAAATAATGAGGGCAAGAAAAGAATGAAACAAATGAAAGATATGGCCAAGGGCAAGGAGTACAGTGACAACGGTGTTTCAGTTGAATTCTACACAGCTCTGAAAGTGGGTAGAATGCTGACAGAACAGTATGTATGGAAAATACAACTTGTCAGGTGGAATTTTTCTAGTTTTTCACCTGCGAAGATCTAATACTCCACAGCAATGACATCCTTTTATAACTTCCACTTTCAGACAAAAGGAAAGCCCAGAACTGAAGACACACACACGTGAAATCCTGACTCCAACACCTCACAATTTGCTCAGACAGCAGGAAAACTCCAATGTTACTCCTCCAAATGATGCTGGAGGATATTTTATCTGCATGTACAGACACATGTAAACAGAAGCACTACAGAATTATGCAGAGAGACTAAAGCAAATAAAGGAGACTGCTTTTCTTTTTTTAGACAAACAGCTTGAAAGTCTGCTATAGCAGAAGAGTTAACATAAATACACTTCAATGATTTTGCTTGCAAGCATGAATTATTTTTTTAAGTGGAATGGTTGTGTGTGGGCTGTAAGTATAACTTTAGAAATAACAGTAAAATGCAGCTTACCTTGTGGTTAAAAAAATTCCAGCAGCCAGTTTTATGCATAGCTAGCATTTCATTAGTGTTACACTGAGCTTTGTTTTTTTAAGCAAATTCAGCGTAGGACTGAACATTAATTTCCTTTAAGTGAGCAGTTTGGAACACTGAACTATAAGCAACTCCTCCTCCCATTTCTTTGTAGTGGCTGTGACAGAAATAAGCCAGAGTATATATATACTTCTGAAAGTTTATTTGCATCACATTTAAGGAAAGTTATCCAAACGGGAGTCAAAAAGCCATGATAAATAAAGAGAGAAAGTTATGGAGAAGGAAAGCAAAGACTTCTTTTTCCTAGACAAATGTTCCATCAGCAGGAGTCCCATTATTTGTTATAACAATCTTTAATTTGTAATGACTCTGAAGAAGACTAATAACAGACTGGTAGGAACAGATGGAGTGGTGCTGTTAATTATAGGCACTTAGCTGCATCAGACCCCATGAGTTATTACTAACACTTCCCACTAGGGAGGAGAATCACTCACTTTTAAGTAGTATGTTGCTTACTAAGCTGGGAGCACTATCAGTCAGGATTGTACAAATCAGTACTTTACCACCACAGAAAACAAAATTCAGCTGCAAACAACAAAAAAATATTCCTTGAATAACTTTCACCTTAATCTATTTTTTTTTTTCCCAATCATAAGCCTATCGAGTTCTTCCACAAAGATTTAAATTCAGGTCTAATTTAATCTCTCTGCTACCCAGCTGAAGGCAGCTACATACCTTTACTGGCAACATTAGTTTCCTAAGCACCTGACTAGCAAGAAGATACTATGAAGTACAGGCACACAGGATGGAAAGCACACTGGCTCCCTGAGCCAAGTGAAGCAAAGAACCTGCATCAAAGTGATTCACCACAGAAAGACTTCTCAGTCTTTGTTTGGAACAGATTGTTGCCTACCTGAACACAGTAATTACCCAACTCAAAGCTTACTTCTGACCTGAGTTTTCCACTGAATTCTGACCTCCAAGCAGGAAGCTATCTTCCACCTGCTTATTAGCAGAGCACCTGAAGTTATTAAACCCACCTCCTTAAGGAGAAACAGCATATCTCCTGTTAAAGATATTTAAAAAGTTCCCATTATAAGCACATAGTAAAAGGCAACACTGTTTTCCTTTTGCAAATGCTTACAAGGCTACAATCTCCTGGAAGCACAGCAGAAAGCACTGCTGAAAGTACCCAGCTTTTACAGGCCCTTTAAGAATAATGAGAGAGAAGAAAAAAAATCTATCAGGAAGCTAAATGAATACTCTAAGGAAGCCCTATGATTATGTGGTGCCTTATTTGTAAAACTATTATGCACCTTTTGAAGCATTAAGCAATACTTTCATAAGCATTAGAGAATGCAGAAAATCCAGACTGTTAGAGAATCCTTCAACTCTGATGTTTAGTCACACAGAGAAAAACTGGAATGAAATTTGGCTATGAGCTTTCCATGGATAGTTAATTCATTTGTAGTGAGATTATTAGCTAAAAGAACTTAGCCACGAAGGTCAGAGGGAAGAAGCTGGCTTTAACAACTCCACTGAAAGCAGATGTACTAGCAAGTGCATTAGGAATCTTTAAAAAAAAAAAAACAGAACTCAAAGTCCATCTTCACAGAACAGCTACATAGCAAAGCACTTTCTCTATAAAAACTAACAATGAAAGATGACAAAAAACAACTGCTTGCATACTAAGGTGATACTATGCAAATAATCTTTCCCTTGGAGGTTATTATTTTAGCAAAAGAGCGCTCCGGTCTGCACAGCTCACATGTACAGAAAATACTAAGAGTTGGGGTTATTTCATTTATCTGTGCTCTTAGATGAATGAGCAAGACTGCTGTACCTGGTAACTCCCACCTGTAATTGCACAGAGTCTGGCAGCTTTCTCAACAAAGGGAGAAAGTACAAGCAGGGGGTTAATATCAGCTGACAACATATCTTTGCTTACAATGCCTAACTCTAATAGACCTCACCTTACATGTACATAGGCAAAACCCTACCTTCCTACAGGCTTTGATCCTACACCCAAGGCAAGAATTTCTAATCAATTTGAATGGAAGCTGACTGTAAGAAATTCAGGGATGTGACACCTTCCTCCTCTTCCAGGAGGTCTTCCAGAATCTTCAAAACCACCCATAAGGTAGCGATGAACAAATTCATTCCCTACTGCTACTTACAAGTGTGACAATGCAATGCACGCACTACCAAGGAGGAAGACATTGCACTGAATGAAATATCCTCATTTTGGAGATTCAATAAACAAAACCCCACGCTTTACATTAAGCCAGTAATTAACACGCACAGTCAGGATGGCCGAGCGGTCTAAGGCGCTGCGTTCAGGTCGCAGTCTCCTCTGGAGGCGTGGGTTCGAATCCCACTTCTGACAGCAAGCTATTCTTTTCTAAAGGTGCCTGGAACACAGCCCAGGGCAAGATGTTGTTGTAGTGTACCTGCTTGAGAAAGCATAGGGCCCAGGGGATGGCCTTGAGGGAGGAGTCCCTTCCAATCTCAACCATTCCAGGATTCTGTTAGGTGTTGGCATGTCATTTCTGTGTGGAATTTGTGCTATTGGACAAAGTTGTTCAAATACAATTTTCTCTAGAAGCCTATCCATCATTTCCAATTAGAAAAAAGAGAATTTTGTGTATTTAATACTTACACTCAAACTTCAGGACCCAACATCCAGTCAGAACAGCCATCATACATTTAACAGTACTTGGCATTGGAATATCAGGAATAACAATGTGGGTTACTAGGAGAAATAAAAGCACATGGAAAAATGAGAACCTCAGAACCAAAAAAAATTGCTATTTATGAACAAATAGGCTACAATAATTTGCTTTTGGTTGGTATGTGATTTTTGAAGATCTGAATATATCTATTTATGTGCTATCAGACATTGTGGGTTTCTACATTCTTGCTGTGAAAAAGTTATTTTACAGTTCTAAAGATTACACTAAATTTTTAGAGAATTGACAAAAATGTTACCCCATAAACCTGAGTTGCCTTTGAAGAATTATCTTTAACTCTGACAAGAACCTCACTATGTGACCACACTGCTTAACATAAAGCTAATCACAATTCTGGAGCAGTAATCAGGGTGTAAAAGGAGACAGGGAAAAAATTACCTTAGCATTTCCTTCACAAGCAGAAGCAGCACTTCAAAGAAAAACTAAAGGGGGGGGGATTAAGCACCCCAAATTGGGGGAGAAAAAAGATACCTAAGTCAGCTCCATCACCTAAGTAAATTAAAAAACAATTAAACTTGAAGGAAGGTAGAACAAAAGAAGTTGTCAACTGATAGTCACAGTTGTATCTAAAGGGACCATCTACGTAAGATTTAAAGGAGATAAAAAGTTTACAGGACAGCTCATGTGAGCAGACAACATTTATAAAAGATGTGCAGAGAGAAGGGGTTTCTGAGGAGCACTTATTGCTTGTTATTTAAAATCCATACACTGTCAAACCGTGGCTCCCCCAGAAGTCTCCTGCTGCAGTAACCAGGCAGACCTTACATGCATTCACATGCAACACTGCACACCATCCTTTGACCATTGCTAAGTTCAGGGATTTCAGGAACTACAGTTAAGAATGATAAAAAGAACTGTTCTAGATAGCATCTTAACAGATAATGTGCAGAACTGCTGTCACTGTTTTAAGAAAACTACATACCTGTGCTGTTAAATTCAGTACACCTTCGAGCCTTCAGAACTGTTGCTAGCTGGTTCAGCAATTTCTGTTGTTTTGAACTAAGACTGCTCCCCAGGATACCAAGAGGTCCATCTCTAGGCTGGCTTGGGCTCTGTGATGGCATAAAAGTCCAGCATAAGCCAAGTGTTTGGGAACAAAGAATGCAACTTATTTGCTTGAGAGCATTATTTAATAAAGAATAAGCACTGTGAAAAACAATTCATGGCAAGCTGAGTAGAAATGGTCTATCATTAAATCTCTTAGCAAAAGCCAGCTCCAGAGGAAAAAAAAAAAAAGGTTGGCATTTGAGATACTTAATTCAGCTTATGGAAGCTACAAAAACAGGAAGCTGGTGCAAAGTTGTTTTGTTTATCTTAGACTGCTGTCCACACATTTTGTTGCTTGAACATTGTGTAAGCAGTCTTGCTGACTGTAGTGCTGGAGATTTTCTCAATGTAGCAGTAAAATCTGCTGCTCGTAGGGAAACATTACCAACAGCTACACTACCAATACATTGATTAACTTATATAATTGGCATTTCCTTTTTACTAAGATATTCCTAATACTTTGCCCTGGAAGTAATGAATGCTTATGTTTTTTTAACACAGATTAATGGAAAGTTTAAGGTATTGTACTGGCACTCATCCACTGGCATGCATTCATCCCCAAGCAAGTACAAAATGTGACTGTTTTGCTTGCTACAGAAGAGATCCATTGGCTTACATTTACTACAGGTGGAAGCAACAGTTTTACTGATTTAGCTGCAACAGTTTACTTTTCATCAATAGGTATTTTATTGTCCACTGAGAAGGGATCATAGCAGGCTACATACCATGAAGTAAGAAAGGACTACTTGTATTAGCCAGCTCAGTTTAATCATCTCTCATTAGGAAGCAAAAAGCACATCATGATAGTGCATCTGGATAAGTTTTGGTTACAAATTCAGAAGACTTTAGAAAAAAAAAAACAGGAAAAAAGAAAAAAGAACCAAACCAATAATTCAAAAGCTGTTTTCAGCTACTGAGCTGACATCTTCACTGTTGGTTAAGGGATAACAGGACAATACTGGAACAGACTTAAAAGCAAAAAAGAACCTGGAGCAAAGACTACTGCTGCTTTCAGGTAACTTGGTAAGTAGAGCAAATTTAAATATGCAGAAAAACACCAATAATAGCAAAGGAACAATACTTCAGGAACAACAGTGTCCATTCTCCTATAACAAAGCAGTTTCCCAGGTAAAGCTACCCAGGTAAAGCTACACAGAATACTGAAGCCTGTAAGTGCCTTGCATGTAGTCTAGAAATAATACTACCCATGTTAGCTCCCCAGTCTACTTTAAGCCTCTGCCTTTATGGGGAGATCTAGGCAATCCTCCTAGTTCCAAGCCTTTGCCACTTACAGGATGAACTGATGCTCTTTTTCTTTAAAAACAAACAAACAAAAGCACAACTACAACAACAAAAAATAAAACCCACACTGAACACTTACCTCAGAGGGCTGGCTAAATGAAAATGATTCATTCTTGACTGGTAACATTAGCACAGACTTCATCTTTTCACTCTCTGCATAGTCCACAGGCCGCAGACCAAATATATTACTGGCAAAACAAGCACAGATGGGTTTAAGTAAATAAAATGTGACTTGATTCTTAACTAACTGGGTATGTTAGCTGGGTAGCTTCCCCACCACCACTTTCTAACTAATATGTAATTTCAGCTAAAAACCACAAAGCCTCAAATAAGAATTGTATCCAAGACAGATGGATACCGAATTACAAGCTGCTGCATTCAGCTGAGGAATAAGTGATGTTCAGAGTGCTGTTAAGTATGCTACAGTTCTTGATAAACTCTTTTGAGATACGCTGATGTCATTGACAAGACCCAGAAATTTCAGCTTCCGTCTTTTCACTGGCCTCACAGGATCAAGAAAATGCATTTTTAGCTTACCCTTTTGCCACAAAAGGAACACTGGAAGATTCCACCTATTGAGTTAAACACTGGAGTTTGATGTTAGGCTTTTATGGGAAAAGCTATCTGCATTCTTCCCGAGAGCAGAAGCTCCTTCACGCATCCAAAATTTGAGTAAGCATCTTATTTATCTGTGCTGGGCCACAGAACACATTACAGCCAATTCATTCAAATTTCTGTTTGTTTGGTAATTTTGTTGAAAGCTGTTCATCCTATATGGCAGCTGGTAGTTATTAGATATGCTTCAAGACCCCTCACCTGCCCCACATTCTTTTAACATCCCTGAAAGACATGATTTGCTATAACCACAACATCAAGCACAGCCATGGCTTCTGTCTCTTCCTCACATGGCTTTGCATTTGCAGGACAGCAGTGAGAAGAGGAAAGCCCAAAACTGCAGAACAGGTGTAATTGCTGTTAACAAACACAATCCTCTGCCAGGGAGATATTTTGCTTGTTCTGCCCTTTGCGGGAATAATGGCCATTCCAGTTGATCCTCTTCTCCTCACCTCATGTAACTCTGGCTGTTAAAATGCATAGTAAGAGCTCATTATGAAGGGGAAGCTTGTCACCAAGAACAAAGCCCTGACTCAGTGCCTGAAACCTGCCAAGCTTTGTCATCAAGCAATGAAACATTTAAAGAGGTCAAAAAACTGCTGCATCTTTCAAGTGCTGTCTCTTAGTTAGCCACACGTTCCTGTGCAGAGTAAGAATCCAGGAAGCTTACAGTGAATTCCACAAGGCCATAACTCAACCCAACCTGAACAAAAGCTCAAATCATTAAATCTTCATTCTGACTACACTGGGGGGCTTTGGCCAGCTCAAAGTTAAAAGACAGGTCTGACCCCAGACTCTTTCAATGCCCCTGGCTGAGCACAGCTTGCTGTCTTTAGCTCTTGGGAACACTACAGCCCACAAAAACCCCACATGGGAGATTCCGGTATTTTACAGTTTCCAATTTCATATTATTGCCAAACCAGAGCTCTCCTGTGTTACTAATGAGCAGAGAGCCAGCCTAATACAAATTCTGCAGACTAAAAGATAATTGGTTAAACCTCAGCCCAGTCCTGGGAGTTGTAGCCCATTAAATACTGTCATGCTGTTCCTGCTTTGTCATGCATCATCAGGGTAGCTTTTGCCTTTTCTTTAAATAAGGGTCATATCCCACTCATACTGCTGCAGGACAGTTCCTCTGAACAATGGATGCAGAGAAACAGTAGCACATACACTAAAGTCATCTTTAGACTGGATGGCTGGCTGAACTTTTGCTATGAAAAAATGGAAAGGGAAAAAAAAAATCACATTAGTTGTCAAGGTTTGGGAGTGTCCTTTCTCCCAAAGATCCTCGGCTACTGAAAGAAAAAACAACTAATCAACTGATGAATATTTACTTTCAGGCCACTGCTATTATACGCTTAATTGGCAGAAGACATTTATTAAGTATAAACTGCTCAAATAGGAGCTTTAGCTCTACAGTCCCTCTGTATTCATTTGATTGTCTTCTCCCCCTCTCTCCCATTGTTTAAGAACATTTTAATCATCTCTTACCAGAGTACTGCAAAATGCCATCCTCTCATTATGAGCAAAGAATTAATGGCCAGTCATAGGATGCTAAGGTGGCACATTAAAGTGAACAGTGATGAGCTTAAGAAATCAGAGCTGGAAAAAAAAAAAAATGCTCACGAGCCCAAGAGATGGGTTTGAGTGTTTTGAATATGTGTATCGAAGCAGTTTGTTGATCAGAAGGGAAAGGGAGGAAAACTACACTGAGATGTGTGAGTAGTTCTTTTACAAAGAAAAAGTAAGGAATATCTCTGTAAAACAGATATTGGGTATGGTATTTCTTTGACTTCCTTGTCTAAGAATAAGGAGACAACAGATTTCTTCATTTTACTTAAGCACCTGGAGGTAGTCATAACCAGAAAGAGACTAAGTCTCTGTTCAGCTGGTACCACTCTTGGTGAAGTTATTTAAAGGTACTATTCCTAATATGTTAGGAATATACATTGTTTCTAGACCCACAAGCAGGATTGGCAAAAACAAGTGTGCTCAAATCTGTCTGCAGCCAAGCTGAAGAACAAGAGAAATCCTCCATGTTGTTGAAGATTTAAACTTTTGATCCATATTGTGAAATGAAATTGATTGCCATTCACACTAGGTCTGCAATAGGAACACAAACACAGCATTTTGAGGAATACCAGTAACCTATAGGTTATTGTTTGCTGAATGTGGGCCCACATGGTGCTGAGCTGACAAGTTCCACCTTCAGAAGGAAGACAGACAGAAGTGTTACCATCAGACAGTAATAAGCACCTCTGGTGCTTCAGCCAGAATACAAGGTCTCTAAGGCACACTTCTTTCTAGTAGAGCATAAGAGGGCTTCTTGCAAGTTGATTTAAACATTCAAGAGTCAGATGTATCCTTTGATGCAAACACTCTCCTATTAGTCAGTCATCAAGGAATATTCAGTGGAGGGCTCTTAGGGCTCCAGCAAATTCCAATCAAAGAGCAGGATGTCTGTGCTGAGAACAAAGATGAGCCCAATGAAGAGCAACTCAATATAATCTTCTGAGTGTGGCTTTACACGAGATGACAGGTGATATCTTAAGGACTGACCGATCAAAGAGCTTCTTACAAACAGCTTTAAAAATGGGATATGGTTTATGGTGGAACATTGCTGAATTCTTACCTACAAAGTCTTAGCTACAAAGAGACTAATTGCTGTAGCAGAAGAGAAATTTAACAGCTACCTTCTACATGTTTCAGGGAACTTTCAAGACACAAGCAACCAGAGGAGAACAGATAAGAGGGACATATACATGCCAGTTCCCCAGAAGCCCCAGACTCACATTTACCTCTATGCCATTCATAACTGGGGACAACAACCAGTCCCTAAACATTCCTCCAGGTTTGTTTGGAATCAGACTCAACTACTCAGACTGCTAACACCTAAAAAAAAAAAAAAAAAACAGGGCAACAACAATTTTTACTAATGCTAAACTTATTGTGCATGAAGAACTGGCAAGATAGCCCATTTGAGTGAAAGCATTTAGAAAGTACTGTGAAATTGCCAATGCACAGATCTAATTTTTCAAATCACTTGGCTTGCTGTGAAGCAAGGAAAGAGGCAGAATTCAAGAATGAGCATGTGGAAAAAAAGCTGTAAAAAAAAAAAAAAAGAGCTATGTGTAGGAGATTAACTTTAAAAAATTAACTAGACCAGTGGGACAACCAATAGATTCATTGGTACATATAATATTTTCCATTTGCACTTCATGTCTTTCCCAGTCAGTGGAAATTTCAAATGGTAAAAGAATTGCCACTACTACTAAATCTTAGAATTTTTTTGGAAATCTGTTTCTGAAGAAGACTGAAATCCTAGAACTGCAATCTGGAAAGAGATGCTGTAGTTCTCACCTGTATTCTCTTCGTCCAAAAGATATGCAGCTGCTTTATATTATACCTAGTTACTTCCTCATGCCTTCAGTCCCTTGGAAAGTGGCTGTACTTGTTCCTAGATATATCTTATAACCCCTTACAGCACAGGAGATCTTAACTATCTTGAGGTCTTCATTTCTTTAAAAATATATATTTTGTCTTGTACAATCAAGATTCACACAGAAATTCAAAACTACTGCTCTAAGCAGGCTCTTCAATGTAATATTTGCTTTAATTCCAATAGATTAACTCTCCAGCACACAAGGGATATTAAGACATAATCAAGTTATATCTATGGTCAGAACAGCCGCATCAGCCACTTCTGGGGATTTTCATGCTGCATATCTCAAGTAACATTTGAATACATGTTTCATGTACACATTTCACTAAGGTTAGCTAAAGGAAAAGTCTTTGAGTAACCACAGTGAACTATTTAAAAGTTCCCCCACTCCATGAGGCAGTGAAGAATCACTGCTAGGATAAAGAGGGCCCTCATCCAGCCTGAAAGTTCACTGAGCACTTGAAGAGCCCATGCAATGACCAGAATGAATTGCATGTAAACAACCAATGCAAAGACAGTAGCTTAGCAAAATTTGTTATAGTTCTAGCTTACACACTGCATACCTTTAAATTTAAGGCACCCCTCAAGTACATCCTTCAGAGATGACAGTTCTGCTCATTACTGCTCAATTTCTACAATCACAATGCTAGTCCTAAGCTGTAGGTAAGCATATCCTGTATTAAGAACAATGAGGCCAATTATAACCAACCATACCAAATAGACAATGATAAGTGCACTATCTGAGGTGATCACCCTGCTCTTGCCTCCTGTTTTTAAAGTGCTGCTCCTGGATATATGAAAAAACTCTGAAGAAAAGCACATTTCTTGCTTGAGTCTTGACTTCATTATAAGGGCTCCTGCATTCACTAGAAAAAAAAATTAAACTTTTTACATCAAAGAGATTTCAAATCCACTTATCGAGACAAATCCAACTACTGTTTAATTAGGACCAGAAGCACAGGTAGAAAGCCACCCTGTAAGATTTGGACAGTTGTGGTCCAGGGAAAGATTGTAACAATTTGTTTTTAAAACCAGCAGGGCTCAGTAGAAAAGGGAAGGAAATAAGACATTCTCAGAAGTCTCACATACGTTGTTGTTGTTTATATTGTTTCTTGGCAATGTTTGGAAGAGGTCAGTAAAGTCTTACTACTCAAGTCTGAACACCTCACTTCTAGATCCCCTTCTTTTTATGTCTCTTATGTTCTCTGTAAAATGGAAAAAACATCTTCCCCTCATCGCTGTATAAGGAATATATGCAGTAGCACTTCAGACAGAGATAGAGAACATAGAGAAGATTTGGAAGCCTCACTTTATCCAGGGCAGGAGGCAGGCAGGGCTGTTTGTTTGCCAAAGCAGCAAACAGATCAAGAAAGGCTATGTTTGTTCCCCAAAAGATTTAAGAAATATATTTTTACATATTTATAAACAGCACACAGAGATTTTGAGTACATTGGAGGTTAAGGCAAGAACACTGTGTATTCAGAAGAAGCCATTTTTAATACTGCTAGAAGTAGTTGGTTGCAGAGTTGTGACCTAGCCTACATCCCAGTGCCTTAACACACAACTGAATCTTACCCACATTCAGTGAAAACTACGGCCAAGTTTAAGATTTAAATAAATCCTTCCTTCCCTGATTAAAAAGCTCCTGTTTCAACAGAAGGTCATGTTTGCTCACATAGAATGAGCTGAAATAAGTTCAGCTTTGTCTCAGTTTGTCTAAGCCCACGCAGCAGAGATTAAGGCTAATAAGAGACCTGAAAAGTCCCAATGCTGGCATTTGGAGTCTCTGCAGTGCAAACCCTGCAGTGCTCAAGTCCTGTTGAAAACTTGCATCAAAGCTGTTGTCTGTGCTACACTTTCAGATACCAGACAGACAAGTGGTAAGTGTCACACAACCAGAGAGCAATACATGAGTGGTTTGAAAATTAGTTTCTGAAGTTGTCAGCTTACGGTGTGATGTGTGGGTCTTTGTTGTTCAAGAACAAAGTGAAGATGAACAATTGACCCTTTTTCACAGTTAGGGTGGTCTATTTTTTTGTGTTTGTTTCCCCCTTCTCCAGCTCCAGTGCTTTTCAAGACTATGACTGTTTTTGAAAACCCCATGCTTTTCTTGAGAATACCTCAATTCTGTGATCTTCAAGAGTGAATACTGTGAGCTGAAGCAATTAAACTGAATTTGCTTATGTTTTGTTATGCTCCTGACAAGGAAATTTATGGCACGCAAGGCTTCATCTATCTTCTTACACACACACAGACCCCTCTATTGACATGTGTTGGGTGCTCCTGGCACAACAGCAATATTAAAACACCTACCACCACATTTAACAGCTGGTATACTAACAGTCTGCAGTTTGGATTGAAGCACCTTCTGCTAGCAAGGAGTGCAGGGGAAGTAAAAAAAAAAACAGATGTAGCAGTTCAAAACTCATCTAGTTCAGCATTCCATATCTCACTGAGCTATAACAAAATGCCAACAGAAGAGTGTTAAAATAGGACAAGCGTATTTTGTTGCTCTCCTAGGACAGTCCCCAGCTATTTATGATTTAGACATCTTCAAAAAAGTCTAGGACAAAGTGAAATGGAAACAGAACACCTTGAAAAGGGGTGGATGTAAGCACAACACAGCATGCAATGTTTAACATCTCCACTACCACTACAAATAATGGCATTTAATTAACTAGGTTTGCTTCATGTTTACTTCTCATACATCCTGGCTACTGTAGCTGGTGCTACAGCTTAAACAGCACTACATCTACTCACACTGCATCACGGGAGGCACCATGCAGAAGCAGCAGCTCAACAATGCTCACGTGCCCATTCTTGGCAGCGTCGTGAAGGGGCGAATCGTTCTGATAGCCCGTAGAATTCACCAGTGCTTTGTGTTGTAGCAACAGCTCCACCACCTCTCGGTGCCCGTGGTTACATGCCTCGTGCTAGCATGGCGAGTCCACAAGCAGGAAAGAGAGAAAACACAAGTGAAACAGAGCTCAGAGGAAGGACCTCTGTCATATCAGTTAACGTGTTCATTTTCAAACCCTCTCAGAAGATAAGCAGGGAAAACGATGCGAGGATGCTGCATTACATTCCCAACTTGAATAACCTTGGAACCTGGCACTAATAACAAGCACAGAGAGGAGGTGAACAAAGGCCAATTGTGTTCAAATTAGACCACAAAGAACAAAGCCCCACAGATTACAGGCTCAGTCAAGAGTACTGTTTAGAAGAGAAAGAAGTTGCTGAAAAAAGCCTTCTATTTATATTCTCTACATCAAGCATGTAGTATTTTTTCATTCAACCACTCCATCTACTTCCAAAAACATTAAGAAAAACATCAAGGACATTAAGTACTCATGAAATACAGGTGTCTGCAACCAATCACTTCCTAGGTATCATGGTCACATTTTCTGCATTTGCAGAATCTCAGACAGTTCAGTTGCAGGTTCTAATCCAGCAGAGGAAAGTTGGATTTGGTTGCAGCTGTTAATAATAAATTCTTTTGCACTGCCATCATTTTCTATCTTGAATAATTCTTTGTCACCTAAGTGTGTATAAAGGGAACCAAAGCATGAGAAAAGGAGGGATGAAATGAAATCTGATAGAAAGACAAAAGACAAGAAGTCTACAGCTCACCAGTGGTGTCCAGCCAGCATTGTCCTTAACGTTGGGATCTGCCCCATTTTTCAGCAGCTCTTCAACAGCTGCTAAGTCACCCTACATAGGTAAGAAATAATTATCATTACAGAGTAATAAAGACACACAAAGACAACAAATTTAAGAGATGCAATATTATAAGTTTACCTGCAGTGACGTTAAATCAGTCTTCCATATGAAAACTGCTAGGATAACAGAAACTTAGCTGCTTTTGAGACAACTGTTTATCATTGTTCAGTTAGAAGGAGCTGCCCATTTTCCCCATACATATGCACCTGATTTTAATGTAAAAATATAACTGTCTTAACTCAGAATCCTGCAATGTAAAGTTTGATCTGGTACACTAGAATCAACATCAAGGATGAGTAATGCTTATTCAGAAGTTATTTCTTTTCTCCTCTTTTTTTTTTCTTTGAGGTATAAATGATTGGCTAGAAACATCTGCAGGTAAAACAGACTAATAAGCCAAACAAGCTCCTGTAGATTGTTTTCCCCCCACAAGTCAAAAGGAAAAGATTTCTATTTAACACTGAAATTACTGCTCACATTGAATCTCACTGGAACTCTGACACTTATTCTAACACAACAGTTTTCAATTGCTTTTTGGAAAACACGTTATATTCAGGTTTTACTATAGGCAAGGAAATGAAAATAAGGGAAACTGATTTCTGCTTGGCCTCTAATTTGTCTCCATAATGATATGGCAAAAGAAGCTACTGGGCAGAGTTGGTGAAGGCATTGAAAGACAATAGCTAATGCCTGCCCTAGAGCAAGGCATTGAAACACTAACATGTAAACTGGTATCTTGCCCTTGTCCTTAACCAAACTTGCAATGTATAAATATCAGGAGCCATGGGGACAAAGTTTATTCCATGAAACACAAAGTTCTGTACTTCATGTAGCATCAAGGAACTGTTATTCTACAGCACAGCTTAGGAAAACGTGAGAGAATTCTAAGTCTTAAGTACAACAGAAATAAACTTAATCCCATTTATTTTTGTTAGTAGGGAGCACCGCTGAAAAACAACTGCTTTAATCTTCACTCTCTAGTTAGAGAAAATATGAAGACATCAGACTCTGCTCAGCACAAATAAATCCAGCAAGGAACACTCACAAAGAAAGCACTGAGAATCACTGGCTCTACAGCAGCCAGGCAAATTAGATGGCAGGGAAGTTTCATGCATTATATTCTTAACCTAGATATCCCAGTAAAACATTACATTTCAAAGCAATTTAAGAATATGCTGCTGTTAGAATATTTTACAGTTGCAAGGTAACAGACAAGCATCAAATCTCAACAGTTATTCAGAAACAGCTAAAATGGTGAGATCAGCATCAGATCTTTCTCTAGAGAGAGAAGATACAATTATCTATAATAAGCAAGATCTGAGCTTATCATTTAAAGTTAAGTTTGCAAACACATACAGCAAAGGTTTGACATTTCCATAGTACTCCCCTCTAGAGCAGTAAGCATAGCTAATAATTTGTGTGGGCACCAGAGTACTGTAGCTGTTCAGAACAGTAACATAAGTGTTGATTTGTAAAGAATTGCTGTAGCTTTACTAAAGGAAGCATAGCTGGTGTGGACAACAGAACAACATCCACAGAATAAACAACAGACCAGAATCAAAAATGGAAAGATCAGTGTTTTGCTGTTCACAGAAGTATTTTGACATCCCCCCTCCAAGCTGTAAATGGAACCCACTCCCTGCAAGTGGCACCTTGCAATGAGATTGGCAGAAGGGTGGGAAGCTGTCACGTCAGTTGTGCTGTGCAGAGACTGCAGACGTGCTGTCAATCAGGATTGCAAGAGATATGTTAAGAAATCGTTTGTAGCCTCAAAATTGGAAGAAACAGTTGAATTGACTACTTCATTTCTGGCTATGTCACATGATAGGAATGCATGCCTTCTGGAGGTCAGAACCAGATGATCATTGAGGTCTCTTCCAAACCAAGCCATTCTGTGATGACGTACCCCCAAGAAGCTCTGTGATTGAACATCATCTTGGGAAATAGGAATTTCAAGAAGCAGATTCTTAGCAAACACCTTAAAGCCCCTCCTGCAAGGAAGGTTACTGGCACCAGAGGGTCATACAAAGTGATCGGTTAACAGGTGGTCAAAGCTGATAGAGTTACTCATAAGTTAGTGTTTACCCTTCCTTGTTTAGAATTTTCCAGAGCATCTGGTAGGGGCAAAGCCCAGTCACAAAAATCAGTATACTACCTTCCTTTCCTACACAAGAAAGTAGGAGTCCACGATTTTGTCCAGCTATTGCTTTGAGATCATCCATTCAAACATGCTTTGTAAAGCCTACTGTAGGGAACTTGCTTTAGCAGAGGGTTGGACTTGATGCCCAGATGTCCCTTCCAACCCCTACAATTCCATGAATTATGCTTTGACTAATATTCAAATACATTTTATGCATTTGGTCCCTTGAATTTGCTTGTCCCTAGCAATGCCAGCAAAAAATCACCAGTCCCCAGCAGTCAAAGCTACACCAGTGGGACCCAACAGCCCGTGTTCAGTCTGCAGCCAGAGTGAAAACAACTGGAGATGCTGCTTGTTCAGAAGCAAACAGGACTAACATCAGGTGGAAAAGCACTAACATTAAAAAGCCCAGGGAAATGTTGATTTTTTACATCTCATTATCAATGATAGATTACAACCAGCCCCTAAAGAGTCAGAAACTATTGCAGAACGTAACATTATCTATTTGGAAGAAGTAAAGCAAAGGACATTAGAAGCTCATAACCAACCTTATGTATAGTGACAACAACATAATGGATTGGGTTTGCCCTTCCTCTGCTTAAAGGGAGCTCAGAAAAGTCACAGAAGCAGGAAAGGCATTGGGGCCATCTGTTGGCAGGTCCAGAAGACAGCGTTGCATTAGCTTACAGAGAGAAGGTTGTTTACACAGCTTTGAAAGCAGTCCCTCCAGTGAGCAGTTAGCTCCTGCAGATACTGATGGCATAAACCCAGAAAACCAAACCCACTTGACTTGGACAACATTTTGGGTTCTTTTCCCCCCTTTCAAGTCCTAACATCAGTTATGTGTCACGATGCTAACAAGAACAGATGGTTAACAACAACTGCAAGTGTCCCTTTAGGCACATTTTTGACATTTTCTCATTTACTGCTTCCATTAACCATACACATTTTCCACTGAAAGTCACCTTTAAATTATTAAGTTAATATAAAAATTCTACCAGTTCAAAAATGAAACTCAAAGAGTTAGGGTTAAAAACGTGTACAACATCAACCAAACACCTCTCCCTTTGCTTGCTCAAGAGAGTTCAACCTTTGGGTAAAACAAATGAACAAAAAACCCTTTCAAACCCAAACTTGTTTGCTTGTTAAGATATGGCACAGCAGGAAGAAAACTCCAGCTCACAAAAAGTGGTTAAAGAGGACCAAAAATGAATTACAGCATGTTTATAGTGATTATGAATGCTCCATTCAACTGTTTCCAATAAACAGCAAGTTTGTCACCTCCAATTTCTCTGAATTAATTCTCAAACCATGGTGGCAGAAACCATAAAGGCAATCTGGTTATGACAGGGAAAATACCAATAGAGGAAGATGTCTGCTGAAACACTGACAATAGGAAATGCTGCAGGTCTGGGAAGCTGAGATATCCTTGGGAAATACAGAGTGGGTCCTACACAAGTAGCTGGGTACATAAGAACTTGAAACATCTGGAAATATCTTTAATAAGCATAAGGAAACTGCAATCATCACCCAGAAAAAAAACAGAAGTACTTCTGTGAAAAGCAAAATTCAGTCTGGGAAAGCAAGAATTGGTCTAAGAAAATACAAACCAGCAACTTCAACTGGCTGTTTTAGGTAGAGAAACAGAAGTCAGCAGCAGCTCCTGGCTGCTCTGTGTGCTGGTGTCCACATCTCCTAAGTCTTAAAGCATGATGCAACTCACTGCCTGCCCAAGCTGGAGCTTCTCTCAGAGCTTCCACTGCATAAACTTCTCTGCACGAGAACTCCTGGATACTTGAGGATGTCTGGTTGACATCAGACTCCATGAAACAGATCAGCTTTGATGTGAAATTCTGCCAGTGTTGATCAGCCCCACTCTTAAGAGCAGCTTGGTGAGTTCTGCACCAGCACCACTTTCAAATAATACAGATAAGTGTGTACATGGCTAATTAACCATAAGTATATATTTGCTTTACTAGTGTTAATATGTGTTAACTTGCAATAAAGATGCTTTATTTTGTTAGCATTATATGTCCTTGAGTATTACAGAATCCTAGAAGCCCACTCTCAAAAATAGTTTTAAGCAGACAGAGGTGACAAGCCTGCACCTGAATCATCCTGCCAGTTTCTAACAGATCTCCTTTCTCCAATAAAAGGTATGTTATACCTTTTATGTTATGTTATACTTGCTGCACAGAATCAGGCCTGGGCAAGACCCCAGACCAAGGGATGCACTAACTCACTGTGAAGCAGCTGGAGCAAAGGATGTTGTTTGTTCACTGCCTAAAGGCCAAAGAGGAACAGCAGCAAGGGATGCAATGCCTGTCACGTGCACACGTGGCCTAACATTTAATCATGAGTTAGATACATTGGTACCAAAAGGAAGGAATTGCACAGCTGGCAAGGTCAGATGTCTACCTAAAAATGATCCAAATGGTCTAGAGCTTGGTCATCTGATGTTCACAAAAACTTTATTTCCTTCTTTCAGTTCATCATTACACAACTGGTAATGAAGTAGTAAAAAGGAACACTCTCACAGAATTACCTAGCAGTAATCCAACTCAGTCCAACTCAGTGGGGCTAACCATGGGTAAAGCTTTCATGAAATCCTCTTCTTTCCACACTAGCTAGTTAATACAGCATCTGAAATCTAATAGTACTGAGTCACATTTTTGAGCATCACATAAGTAAGAGAGTTTGTACTGTGAATAACTCATTATTTTATTGTTAAAGAAAATAATAACACCTTATACAGAAGGGCTGTTGAAGGGGCAATTTCCCACCAGGTTAGAATATCAGGAGTGCAGAAGGGCACGTTTTGTATCTTGACTAATTGGAAGTTTTAGCTTTAATGACTATGGAGGAAGATAAACGTGACTGCCGTCTGCTGAGGGAAGAGCTGCATTTATTTTCATTTATTACTGCAATTCAGCATTAAGTTCATCCATTCTAGAATCTTTCTCGAGAGCCATTCTGATTTCACTCAGTTTATCACCAGAGTAGAAGTACTAAATGGGAACAACCCCTCAGAAGCATTCGAAACAGAACAATACACTTAATTTTAATGCCTCATAATGTTGTTAATTATCTATTTTAAATAAGAAAAAACAGGCAAGTCAATTAGCTTTCATTACATCCAGAGTATTAGACCCTAACAGATAATGAAAATAACAGATATTTTTTACAATTAATGAAGTCCCAGAGAACTAGACTTTGTTTCACTTGGGAGAGGGTGGCAGCTCCAAGACTTTCTCATTACACACATGGAAAAACATTGCAGGCTGCAGAAACATGAAGAAATATTCACCTGTAACACAACACTAGAAGAAAAATACTTCCAGAAACCAAAGATCTGGCAGGGATTTTTTTAGAAGCACAGTGGGAATACAGATACAGCATGCAACCAAATATTTTCAAAACCAACTTATTTGAGAACACATTTGCCATTTGTTATAAATACAGCAAGGTTCCTACAAATAGTAATCTAGAATGACACAGCTTATACTGAAGATGCCTGAATGCAATGTTTTCTTGCAATGACTGGACATTCCCAGCAGATTCATGGCAATGGATCACAATTACTTGTTCACTACTTTGCAAAGATAGCAAAACACATCACCAGTAGCTCACTGGAAAGATTAAGTCTTCACACCATCCTGGCTTGAGCAACTTGGTCTTAATCCACTTTGCCATGGAGTAGTACTGGCTGCCAGGTGATGAAGCAGCTTCTCATGAATGCACTAACACATCCATGGTAGTGATGTAAAAAGAGAAAGAATACCACAAATCAGAGAATCACAGGGGTTGGAAGGGACCTCAAGAAATCAAGTGCAAATGAAAAGAAATAATCCATAATACCTCCCTCTACAGATAAGGAACTAAGGTTCAGAGACAGTAAAACAGTTTCTTCAGAGTTAAGTAGCCAGACATGGATAAAAGTAAACCATAAGCAAAAGGCCACTCTCCTTGCCTTATTTTAATATATTTAACAGAGTGTGGTAACTCTAGGACCAACCCTAGGCCCTATCTAGTCAACCAAGTCTTTACAACAAGCATTGCAATACAGACAGAATCAAAGGGTTGGGTTTTTTTTTTACACAGCAGAACCAATAAGGAATGGAAGCTACTTCCCACCCTGCTCAGTGATTATTAAAACATAAATCAAAATGGATTCACACACACAGGACTGACAAGGCATTAAGGTGTCTGCCTACTGCACTGCCTATACTACAGCTAGAGTGTCCCTAAAGAAGCCCTACTCCTTTTTTCTCAGGTAATGCTGTACCAATGCTGACAAGCAATACTACCAACTCTGGACAGCTGCAACACAATCTCCAAAATGCTCTGCAATGAAAAGCCACCTTATTGGCATATCAGTTTTTACTCCAAATCTCACAATACACCGTATTGACGCTCTTTTCTTGGATGAAGTACTTGTGTTCCAAAGAAGCATCAGGCATGGAAACCACAACTGTGTCAACACTCATCAAGGTAGGTCAATTTTTAGAATGAGTCACAATACTGTTCTTCAGAAATTCCCAGAAAATCATGGAAGGATAATTTGTAACCAAGTGTTTTAATAAAGAGGACTTACAAAGAGAAGAAACAAGATCTATCCTTTAAAGCTCTTGAGTCCTGTGAGGACAACACCTCATTTTCTCTTTCCTAATTCAGTATTAATGGCATCAAGTAAGAGATGTGAACTCAGCTCAGCTGCCACTTCCACTTAAAAAGGTCTCATGTGCAGCAGGAGTGGCTTATTAGGATGCCTTTGAAAGAGGACACAGTTATTTATCAAGCCTTTGTCTTGACAAATAGAAGTGCAGTATAAATGTCAGGATGCTTACAGGTGAATCAATTCTACCAGCAGAGGCAGCTGATTAACAACATAGCATTTCTATATTATGATTTAGCACAAAGAACATTTAAATTGCTAGGGTATAAACTCTTTGCAATGCCCTCACAGAGAAGAGCCACTATGATAACACATTTGATGAGTCTGACTGCAAGTTTTCAGCTTACCCCATCTGCAGGTAGCTTTTACAAGGATAACTTTTGCAAAGAGCAAAGGCCATGGAGTTTTACCACAGAAGAAATTGGCTAGCACAGTAACAGCCAGATGAGTGGTAGGTGTTATTCTATGAATAATACTGATCGTATATAAAAGTCTCCTGAGAACTTCTCAACTCTGTCCTCATGCTCCCTCCTCCACTGTAAGAACAGCACACTCAGAGGGGGCTCAGCACAGAAATCCCAGGATGCAGTATTTGGTCAGCATCAGATGGAGATCCTAAAGGTTACAAGGTACTTATCTCAAGTTGCAGTCATCTTTATGCAAGAAATTAAAATCTCATCCTGGCAGTTACCAGGTCAAGTTAAACTGATCAAGATCACTCCATGAGATCTGAGAAAGCTAAATAAACTCCTTAAAGAAAGTCAGAGAATTTCCAGCACGTAAGGCCAAAACTTCGGAATGGTCATCACTTCTCAGAACCTGCAAGTGTGAGTGAAACTGTAAAATACACTAAGATTTTCAATAATAAGCATCTTTGATGATTCCAATAGTTGTTTCTTTATGAAGTCAAAGAAACAAGTTGGAAAGTATTCACTAAATGCAGATGAGGAAGACCATATAATGAGCTTTGCCCTCAAAATCAGGATGTGCTGAAGTGGTTTTCAGGATATTTTAAATACAACGTTGCCTTTTTAAACCTGTTTAAAGGTGAAATAAAAGATGACAGTCCTACCTTGATGGAAGCAATATGAAGCAAAGTCTCCCCTTTGTAATTTCTTCTGGCAATCGTGTTACTACCAGGGGACTTGAACACAGAAGGACTCTGTGGTATTCCTACTTGATTATAAGCCTTGAAAGTAGATGGTGTAGAGGGAGATTTTGGAAGTGAAGGATTACTTCTTGCTGCAGAGCTTCTCGTCTTCATTACACCACCACAGACCTGAACAGGTGTCTTGGGTTCGGTCACTTGGGGGATAGGGCAATCTTGAGACAAGTCCTCTGAGCAAGAAGTCTGACTGTCTGAATTCCTGTTAAGGCTCCTCTCACTTCTTCGTCTTTTAGACTGAGAAGTATCTGGAAGTTTTGATTGCTCCCTTCCACGTTTCAAAGGCACTGCTTCGCTTTCTATTGATGGCAATTTCTCTGCAGCACAATTTTTTTCCTTGCTGACTCGTACAGGACAGCCTCCCTCATCATTATCTTCCTTCTCTGAGGATTTCACCTCTGGAGTTACTTCCACTTCTTCCAAGTTTTTGGAGGAGTCAGCTTCCTCTACAGATTCCTGTGGAAGTGTCTCTTTGGGGCTATTTGGTTCTGGAGTGCACAGGACTACAGGCTCACTGCAAATGGTCACACACTTTTCCTTAGAATTCTTCTCCTCAACCCCTCCTTTTTGCTCAGGCTTCTCTAAATCCCACACTTTGTTGATGTCTGCTAGGCGTTTTTTCTTCATCTTCTTACTCTGCCTCTGAGTTTGCTTTTTTGTTGGTTTGGAGGGCTTTTCATGAACAGGGGAAGGAAAGAAATGATAAACTGAGGACGGGTCTTGACAAGGGTCATTACTATTAGGCTTCGGCTGATTCTTGTTCACAATGCATCGAATCTTCCTACTTCTCGGGCTGAACCACATTTTGATTTGTCCCTTCTTGCTGTTTTCTCCAAAGTCTGAGCACATTGGTGTAGACGTAGATTCCGTTGAATCTAAGTAAGAAAGGGAAGAAAAATAATTCAGAGAGTACTCTTTGAAGAGCCCCACAACCACTTGCCTTGCTAGGTAACAACACCCAGGTTGAGACAGTTCCTTAACTCCCTGGGATAACAAAGCAGCGCACACGATTTCTGACCAGGTTATACAGAGGACAAAAACTATTTCTCACAGAGTTTTCCTTGGAAACGGGTCTTCCAAAGTAGCCTGTGCACAGATACCAGTACAGAACAATTTCCTGAAGCAATATTACAGTTTATCTGAGGAAAAACGCAGAGTTTCTGCAAGCAATCAAAAATAAAATGCTTATAAGAATGTTAAATATTTCTGACAAATGTTGATTAATTCCACAGATATAGCAGATGAGTCAGAGGAACATACAAAATCTACAAGTAATTGTATCCTGTTATCTGATCCTCTAACCCTTGGTAGTAAATAACTGCAAGGAATGCTTTGATCATCTCAAATGCTTCTTTAAAAATGTGCAATGGAGCAATTTTATAACTCACACTGTACAGCAAAGTACAAATCAATAACCAAAATGACAGAGGAATATCCTGTACAGGGAACAACAGTTGAGAACTGGGCTATAAAGTCTCCTCAATGGCTTAAAAAAAATAAAGAGTATTAAGTGACCTCTAAGTTAAACATTAATTTAATTTAAAAACTCTTTCAATCCACGAGACTAAAACAGATCACAGATTCCTGTCTGGAAATCTAACTTGGTTTAGGTTAGTCAGGTAAGTCCTGTGAAGTAAACATGACACACTAAGGACACTGAAACAAAGAGCACATCTCCTTGTCTCCATAACCACCAAGCTCCCAGAACTACACTGTCATTCACAGAAGTCCTACTGATGTGTTAATAATTGGGATCACTGAACCAATACTAATTTTGCCTAGGAAGGCAGATAGGATGCTTCTGTTTTTCTTAAACAAGATTAGTGTGCTGTTTTTCTTCAAAAAAATTATAGAAGAAAAAACAATGATACAAAGTCTTAGTTATTGAAAGTGAAAGACAGGCAGTGAATGCAACAACATACTACCTTTAGTGTGTTAACTTTCTAAGGATGATTTATCTTACCTATGCTTTCTCTTATTTTTCCATGGACATAACAATAAACTGTTTTTCACAACAAGCTGAGATGAACTCAGATATTATACAAAGTATTCCCAATCCCTTACACACAGTAAGATATCTTTATAATTATTTCACTTAAAACAAAGCTGTACAGTTAGCAATCCAATATCATTTTTCTTTTAAAAGAGCGTTTCAAGGTTAAACATTTCCTTAATTTTGATTTAAACTACCCTATTTACCCCTCAAATTAAAAGAGACTCCTAGGTACAAGGAGATTTAGCTGGAGGGATGTGTAAGGCATCAGACAAAAGTGTATTTAAGAATACAGCTTGAGGCTAGCTAATCAATCATTTACTTATTTAATAAAAGCTACGCCATACCAGCAAGATAATTACCAAGTACAGAACTGCAGCTATTTGGTTCTCCTTTAGGGTTGGGCTTGGTACAAACAGGATAAAAGGATTGAAATCGAAGCTCAAATCTCTTAACAAGCTAGCCTTCAGGAAGATATAACACCCAATTTCATTTTGACAATAACATCTTAAGAAAAACAACTTGATTGCAAAACAGATGCAAAATATAAGAGTTACTATTTGTCTTGCCTTCACTGTTTACACAACAAGAAGATTCCCTTCTAAAATATTTGCCTTGCTAGAACTACCAGCCACCTCCAAGTGAAGAGCAAGAATGAAATCAGCTTGCAAAAGTAATTTGTCCAACAATTTTCTGATGGTCAGAATTCTTTTTGATGTGTGCAGCACAGGAAGACTTTAAAGTCCAAGTGACAAATGCAATCAAAGGCAGTGCCCTTCAGAAACAGGATCTAAAGCAGTGTAACACAATTAAGTATTTACACTGGAAGCTCTTTATATGCCACTTCTGGCAGCAAGAGAGCTTGTGAAAAATTCACCACAAGAGTTCTTAAATGAATCTGTTCATTACTGGTTGCTCATCAGGGACTTAGTAGTCAGGTTAGTGGATGCCTGCTGAAAACACACTAAATAAATGCTTTCCTATGATTATTTTTCCTCACTTGACTACTTCACATGTCAAAGAGCATGTTTTTGAATAGAGGAGGCATTCACAGGAGATCAAAATACCAGGCAGACTGTGAAAGATTCCCTTCACACACCCAGAGGCCAGCCATGCAAACCCAAGGAAGTTCCTGCAACTTTGCTCTGGTGGTGGGTGCCCTTTGGCCACTCATCAAACTCCATTTGTCAGAACGTTCTTTAGCAATCATCAGCTTTACCTGAACAGCTCTGCATAGCAACTGCTAAGAAACGCTGTTCTCAAATTCTGCTTCCCTCTCTTCTGTTTCTGAAGTTCACAAGGCAGGGATTATAAATAATAGGGACAAATGGCACATCTATCCTCCCTGAAAATCTATTCCTTTAATGGACTCAGAGCTGGGACAGAGAGAGAAAAAAAGACAGTGCTTAGAAGCTGAAAGGAAGTTGTTGCAGTTTACTATACAAATGTTCATTTATACAATGAGGGAATTATCTGGTAGCTAAGTGCATTCAGTCAAACTACCTTCAGAGAAAACTGCTCATAGAAAAATCAATCCAAAGAAATTCTTTCCTGTCTTGAAGTTAGAAGCCAATTCACAGAGCCTACATCTCAACAGGAATGGAAAAATGACTGTGTATGATTAAGATGTAATTGGTTCATTAATACATGCAAGCTTTATTTTTTTTTAAAGATTCATTGAGACAAGGTAAATCAGCAAAGCATGACTTATTAATTCAAGATTTTAAACATTTATATTAGTGTAAAGATTATCCACAATGGCAGTGTTAGAAAGAGCCTACAATAAAAGTAATATATTTACTCTCCGCTGCTTATGTACTAAATACTGTATCAATATACACAAGATTATCTGAATACTTTCTAAATTAGGCTCTTTGCACATAATAAACACAAGTTTCTTAATGCTGACATTTCATAGAATTCAATTTCTTGAGTGTTAAAAAAAGGACTGAGAATAGACAAAAATAATGGTAGATACAACTGGAGTGCCATGGTTCCAAGTTTTGCTGTAGTGCAATAACAGACTAGAGCAGGGGAAAAAAAAGAAGCAATTAGAAAATGTAGTTTAGCTATCATTAATCTGCATCAAAGGAATATAATGATGCACATTGTGTGCCTTTCAAATTATTCTCTATTATGGGTTTCAGAACAGAAGTTGAGAAATCTCTTTGACAAACTAGTCCCTTATTAAAAATCAAAGGGAAGTGCTTTGGTACCATCTGTGCAACATTAGAGCCTTCACTGAAGAATGATTATTTTGCAAGTTAAGTATTCAGCACAGGAGAAAAGAGGAGAAATTCCAGCTATTCAAAAACTCAGTTTTAGCTATTAAGAAAAATGTCACAGCATACATGAAATGCAATACAATCTGTTACAACAGTTCAACACCCCCCCTCCAGACATCAGAAAACTGAGAAACTGAACTGTGATGCTATGAAGACTAATCAAAAGTTAATTTCTCCTACTGTCCACCAGTACCAAGACAAGCCTGTGAAAATTTGACTAATACCTGCAAAGCTTTAGCCCTGTGTGAGAAAGTAGAGTTGGGGGATGAAATGCGTTGTGAAGCAGATTACATTACAAAAAACAAGGTAAAATCACCTACAAGTGACTGCTGGGATCATTTATGATGATGTTTTCAAAGAATATCATTCAAATACAAACATCTGTAGTATTTAGAAAGGCATTTTCAAGAGCATTACTGTCAATCATCCATCTTCATCTCTTGCAGCTACATACTTTGTCCACGATTCAACAAGTTCTTACTAATTACCCACCATAATGATAGTAATTTCATATTGTAGAGTAAATGCAAGTAATAAGCTACACTTGAAGGAACTAAAAACAGTGGTGGGAGAAAACCTTGTAAATCCTAAGGGATGGTAGACAAGAAAGTGAAAATAATCCAAGAACTAACAGCTTCTTTCTTCTTTTTAAAGAAGATGGGGACATTTCTACCCTAAGAAGGTCAGAAGAGGAATTAGGCTGCTTAATACTCATCATTAGCTGATACAGAAACAGCCATATTCTCAGGAGAAAGATGCTATGATCTCTCTCTGCTAGACAGCTTAGAAACGTCCTCAAAATGTGAAAGTGATAATCCACAGAGTAATTCCACACGTTGGAGGCTTTAATCAAACACATCCTTAGTTCTGTAAAATAAGGCAATCTTGATACTTTACTGGCCAGATAAAAAAGCTTCTGATTTGGAACTTGTTCTGATAAATAACCCACAGATTGAAAGATTAATCCTTTATCTGATGTTGATGCAACTGACTACATGCATTTTTGCCTGCAAGGTTCTTTTCTACACGCATTCCATTCAAGTTATTTTTCATGTGAAGTAGGAAACTTCTCTAGAGAAGAAAAACTGGACTTTATCTCTCATGCTTTTGTTTGTTTTGTTAACAAAACCACCACCTAGCTCTGCCCCTCTGCTAAAACCAGCCATTAAGATGACACCATGTTTTTTGGAAGAGATATAAGTTGAAGGTAACTTTGGACAGTGCATGCTGTTGCAGACTTACTAGTTGGAGTTGCTATGCTGTGGCTAATCTCTTGCATGTTCAAGTCTGTTTCAACATGAAGTGACACAAATTTGTTTATATTTATTCAGCTCTGAAATGAAGCTGGAATACTGAAACATATCTCATCCAGTGAGGTGATAATGTCTTAAACTACTCCATGACATTCATCATGGAATTCTTCCAATGTAGTTTAAGCCTTTCCTCCCTACTCACAGGATCACAGAATTGTAGGGGTTGGAAAAGACCTCTAGGAGTCCAAGGCCCCATGTCAAGAGGAAGGGAACAGTGCTTCGACTGAAACACAGACCTTTCTAATACAAAACTCATGATCTTAAATAATGGCTCCCAAAACCACTAGATTTGAAGTGTATTCAACAAATATTTGCTCTATAATAAAGGCACCAAATAGAGTTAACATAAGTGCCCTGCATGGACTGAGGTCTGTAGCAAGTTTCTCAACCTTGGTCCATGCCTCTGGGTCAGTGCTTCAAACATCTAGGTACACACAGAAGAAACATTCTCATTTTTCCTGTCCATCTTCTGTGCTGTTTATCAGCACCAAAACCTTACTAGTGTCATTCTTGCTCAACTGAAAAAAAAAAATCTAATAAGCAGAAGAGACACCAATTCTGGCAGCTATTTTCTCACCTGTAAGACCACCAGCAAAAGCCCAGAAAAACTTTTGTTCTTTCCAAGGAAGTCACCTTTCTTCTTTTTTTAAGCTAGTCTTGAAGCATCTCAGTGGCATCTGCTAAATTGGCCTCTACTGAGCCCATCAACCCATCAACCACAATTCTCAAGAGGTTTTGGAGTTGGCAACACTAAAAAGCAATGGCATAAGAACTGAAGAGTGATGTGCAAACACTCCATCTATGAAACCAGCCAGCCAGATTCCCACTATCCATGTAAAGCTCCAACAGTGGGCAGTGAAAAGGATGTAACATCTCTAATGAATTCATTTTGAGACTCAGCTTTTGCTGCTAACCTATAGAACGTGGATAGAAAATGCAAGCTATTTGCCAGTCCTCCCCAGTCACATCCCTCATATTATTCTGTACTGTCATCTGTTGCACTTCCCTTTAAATTAAAAGAGAAGGATAATTTGTTCTGTGCAATCTTCCTTGAATTATTTGCTACTGTTTCTTAGAACAAACACAGCTGTGCAGAAAGCTGTCCTTTATCCCAGTGGACTAGCAGGCAAAATCCCTCCTCCTGAGTACTGTGGAACTTCAGGGCTTCAACTTTAACCTTTTCAGATATTCAAAAACAGGTGTATGAAACAATTCCCATTTCAACTGCTTTTTCTTCTGCTTCTTTTCCTTTGCTCTATAGGAATATGATTGCTGACCTTCTAACAGAAGGGGAAGAAAACATTGTTGACAGGGCAGAAGTAGCGCCATAAGAACATGAAAGCAACTTCTAAACAAGAAGAGCCCAATTTTCCACACATATTTCACTTTGTATATATTAACTTCAAGACAAATGTCTACGAGAAGTGACAGGTTTGCCAAAAATAAGAATGACAAAACATCCTGAAGGATTTGTTCTCAAAAATCTGAAGCTACGATCTGCCATAGCATGAGACAACTCTGTTAGAAGTGTGCTTTCTTACGTACGTATCCAAACCTTTCATCACAATGTGCTCAGATTTTTTCTCTTAACATCATTACACAACATCTGAAAGACCTCTGATGCTTAATAGAGCAAAGACTAGGCTTGATGGAAAGCAAGCTTCCACATTAGTTCATAACTTCAGCTGCAAACAGAACAGTCTTGTAAACATTCACTTAGAGCCTGCTTTTAAAGTCCAAACACAACAAATGATAAAAGAACCTCATTTTTTCTATGGTTAAACCACACCACACAAACCTCATTTTAGAAGGGTTATGGCATCATGTGTAGTATCCAACTTCTAGCACATGAAAGTTCACACCAATTTGTAAGAGTCACTCCATCTCTAAATTCTGCAGAACGTTCAAGCAGTATCAATAATTGTAACCAGCTGCATATTAAACAGTTTGCTTACAGCACCACAAGTGCCTCCTCCCAGAGATTCTCCTCCAACTAGCTTTTAACAAGCCTTCACCACTTAAGATGTTTCCCTGACATCACACATAAGCCATCACCTAGAATTCTCTGCTCCAGAAGATTTCTTGATTTATAGAAAAGATATTCCTTTGCAGACGGACAACAGGCTTCCAGTCTCATCCCATCAATGTATTTTGATGCCAATAATTCATTAATGAATCTGAAGGTGAACACAGACTTTGATAAAGGATCCTTTATTTAGACAAACGTATTAAGTAGCAACAATGAAGCAAGAATTCCTTTTTCTGCATCTGACAACTAAATGAGTGTTTTCTAAAACTTAGTATTACATAAGAGGCTCCTCTCCAGGCTTGCAGAAGAGTCACACATTCACCTACACTCATTTCATTTTTTCCTACTTTGACAATCAGTCTGAAATTTGATAGACATTAATTTCCAGTGCACAGACTCTGCAATCTTCTTGTACAATCAACAAGGACAAAATTCCATTGTAGCAAACTAGCTCACTGTTAGGGACCAGAATAAAATAAATGAATTAAGACCTGCTTCCTTCTCTCTCTAGGCAGAGAGCAGTTTTCTGTGTGTAAAAACCCCAAACTGAAAACTACTGGGATATCATACATACCTTGGCATGCAAATGAGGGGCATGATAATGTCTTAATCCTTTAATGGACCCTCCTAAGGAAATGTGTACTGGGGGATATTACACATTTGTGTTCCCTTAGGATAAGATACAACAACTTGTGCCCCTGGTGTGTTCAACTAACTGCCATAAGACTTGGGAATATATCCTACTTTCATCTAATTTTGAAAGACAGATTCTAATGAATTATGGATAACCCGCTCATGCAGATTTCTTCGTAAAACAGATTTGAAGAACCAGCAATCCATACAGACAGCTCTCCTCACATCAAGTTTTCCAAACATGGTTTATAACAGCTTTTCAGAATCTTAAACAGAGCTGCACTGCTCATTCTCTATAAAGTACACGAGATGAAACGCCGCAGTCTGGATTCAGTGGCTGCCAGAGGCCCATATTTGCTCTTACCTGAGGTGCCTGAACCCAGGAGACGCCGCAGTTTGCTGCAGAGCTGGACCATGTCATCCAGTTGACGGTTTATCTGCATGTCTTGCACCCAGGCTGGCACATGGCACACTGGGCATCCTTTGCCAACGTGGTCGCCCATGCAAGATCTGAAAGTCAAAAGTAAAAATCTATTACTCAGTGTAAGTTATCTATTGTACTTGCATATATAGCCTTTTCAGAGCCAAATGCTCACAGAGAATCTCTTCACTCAACACTGACAAACTACTATTGTGAGCAAATAGTCACAAGCACAGGAGAGGACATTTATCATGGCAAGATGACAAGCCATAATTAAGCAAGCTAAGTCTAGAGCCTTGCCAGGATGCTGTCATGGTTATCACATGACTCCTACAGCCACAATTTGATCCAAATTTCCACGGTGTGTTGAAGTTCCATCGCTGTTTGTCTCTAGATAAAAATAAATAGATAACACGGGGGAGAAATGGGTTTATTAAATAAAGGTCATTTAACATTTGTAGCTTCTTGCTAATACTGTTATTGTGATACAAGCTTCAAATCTTACATACATTAGCCCAATGGGAGGACCTTATGATTTGCTACTGCCATCATCCAGCATTACTTCTCAATTTCAATCTATTCTACAAAATATATTTTAACTTCACATAATCAAGACTGAATTAATCTCAGAAATGTCTCTGCTATCTTGCCACTATGTAGAATGCACAGTTCTAGGCAGAGGTACAAAATTAAACATGAACAGATCATATTAAAAATTTGGAGCAACAAAAAGCAAGTAATACCACAGCACTGTTACCTGAACAAGAAGATCAAAGTGAACGCATATAGGCTGTAAACACAGTCATGTGGAACAGGTTGCCCAAGGAGGTTGTGGGTGCCCCATCCCTGGAAGCATTAAAGGCCATACTGGATGTGGCTCTGGGCAGCCTGGTCTGCTAGTTGGTGATCCTGCACATAGCAGGGGGTTGAAACTATATGATTATCGTGGTCCTTTTCAACCCAGGCCATCCTAGGATTCTATGATACAGCCCAAAACTAGTAGAGTAGCAGCTAACAGTACCAGAAGCTTAACAACTGCCAATTTTGTTATGAGAACTATTTGTAGAACTGCACTGGCATCTTTCCCTTAAACATCACACAAGTACCATTCATGCCTTCAGATAGTATCAAGACAAGAATGTAGAAGCTGCTGTTAGGTGTTTGTGTTTTGCACTTCATTCAGTCTTCTCGGAGCACAAAGATCCTTAACACTGAGGCCCTGTGTCCTCAGACCACAAAGACTGACATACAGCTCTTGGCTCTGATGTATCCCAGGTGACAGACAAATCACTTTGAGCAAAGACGAGAATCACATAGGTCTCATTCTCTGGGAAAGCTGACTTCAGGCGTCCCAAGTCTGCAAAAGGCAGTGCAAAGGAAACAGGACTTTCATACGATGACATTTCCTAATTACTTCAAGCTGTTAGCTTTTTATGCTCATCAGCCAGTAACTGTAGCTAACTTAGAATTACTCAGACAAAACTGCAGGAACAAATCTTAACAAATACCCCTGCTCATAATAAATCCCATGCTGAGAGAGAACCAGTTACATTATGTGTTACCTGATGACTGCATTTCATTACTTTCACACATTTCACTTATTGCACTGTAAGCCAGCTCTTGCCATCCACCCCACTCCTTTCCCAGGCATATTAAAAAAGTTATTTCTTTAGCAATGGATCAGAAACAATTCACGTCTGAATTTTACAGGTCCCATCCATGTCCTGCCAAGTTTGTCTGTGATCAAATTAATGTAAAATAGCAGCTGCCATTCAAGACCTGGCCATCAAAGGACACTGAATGGATGACTAAAAGGTTGGACACATGAAGGAGAAAGGATTGTGGGTACCACAACTGGGATAATGGCAAATAAACTTTCTCGGCAGCATGGAAGAGCTGCTGGGGTACCCTTAAGAATCTTACTAGCTCCTCTTTCCAACCTCATCAATGCAAACCACATCACACATCATCTTCTGATGCCTCGGCAGTTTTTCTAAAACCAAGGAATTCTTTCAACAGTGGGTTTGAAATTCATCCACTAGAATAAGCCAGCATTATCCAATATAAAACCATAAGGCCTGATACCCAACAACGTAATTATGTTTACTGTCATGCTACCCTCATGCAATCCACATTACACCTATAAAATCACTTCATAAGACAGATATGAACATACTTATTGCACCCTGTGCAAGCTTCTGGAATTTATTTTACTTCCCCAAGTACACCGTGGGAAGGTAGTGAAATGAAACAAGGAATTGCTCCAGAAGGCAGAACCTTCTACAGCAATTAAGGGCCAAAACTGGGCAATCATCCACGTGTCTAGATGAAAATGAATCATTTGTCTAAAGATCCATTCCATGGGGAAGAGATGCTGAGAGCATCTGTCTTGTCATCAGTTCTACAAAAGCAGGAAATTATCTTTTGCTACTGTTTTAGTATTCAGGCCTACAGGAGAAAGCTCCAGCAGAAAGGTGAAGCTAAAGAAAAGGAGTAAATAGGCTGCCAGTACAGACAGTGAGTCTTTCTCCACATTTATTTTAATCAATTCTTTGAAAGGGTAGATAACAGCAAAACAAAGGGAAATGGTTTTAAGTTGAGGGAGGGAAGATTTAGGTTGAATGTCAGGGGGAAGTTCTTTACTATGAGAGTGGTGAAGTGCTGGAACAGGCTGCCCAGAGAGGTTGTGGACGCCATGGATGCCCCGTCCCTGGAAGTGTTCAAGGCCAGATTGGATGGGGTCCAGGGCAATCTGGTCTAGTATTAAATGTGGAGGTAGGTGACTGTGCATGTGGCAGGGGGGTTGGAGATCCATAATCCCTGAGGTCCCTTCCAACCCTGGCCATTTTGTGATTATTGGCATAGCAACTACAGCTTTAACAAGAGACAGAGCTGCATCTCTAAACTGGCTTATGAGGAGAAATTAGAAGTGGCCCACCCTCTCCTCTGCTATAACCACAGTAATAACAGCCTGCCCCTCTACTCTGCCCTTTAAAGGCCCCATGTGAAGTACTGTGTCCAGATCTCAGGCCCTCACCACATGGGGCCGCTGGAGCAGGTCCAGAGGAGGGCCATGAAGATGAGCAAAGGTCTGGAGCACCTCCTCTATGAAAAGTTGAGGGAGCAAAGCTTGTTCAGCTTGGAGAAGAGAAGGCTCTGAAGGGACCTCACTGCAAGGGAAGGGAGCCTCCAAGCAAGAAGGGAAGCAGCTTCTTATATGATCTAATAACAATAGGACAAGGGGGAATAGCTTTAAACTAAAGGAGCAGGAATTCAGGCTAGACGTTAGGAAAAAGTTCTTTACTCAGAGAGAAGTGAAGCAAAGCCCTGGCACTGCTGCCCAGAGAGCTGTGGGTGCCCCATCCCTGGAGGTGTCCAAGGCCAGCTGAGACATGGTGCTAGGCAGCCAGCAGGGTGGCAGCCCTGCCCATGACAGGAGACTGGAGCTCAGTGCTCTTTGAGGTCCCCTCCAAACCATTCAGTGACTCCGTGCGGCACAGATTCCAGCATCCAGGAACCTCAGAACGGCTGGGCTGGCAGGGATCTCGCAGCCCACACAGCCCCCAGCAGCCCAGGCTGCGCAAGGCCCAGCGCGGAGAAGCACGGGCCATCCTCAGAGCTACTTACAGACAGAAGACGTGCTCGCAGCCCCCCAGAGACACGGGCTCCCGCAACATACCGGCACTGCGGGGAGAAGGAGGAAACAAAGCGTTAGGCGTAACGCGGCGGCTCGCAGAGCCCGAGGGGAGAAAGCGGGAGGGGATGGGAGGGGGTGCCGTTACCAGAGGGAGCAGCTCAGCGCCCTCTCCAGCCCCTCCAGCGCTGCTCTGGTGTGCGCCCAGGGCCGCGCCATAGAAGCGGCGGGGCCGGGCTGGCCGCCCTGGGCCGGCCTGTTGCCCGAGCGGCCGCGCAGCGCCTCACGCATCGCTGTCGCCACTCCAAATTCCCCGCCCGCCACCACTGCGCAGGCGCCAAGCGCTGCGCGCCCATCCGCGCGCATGCGCATACGGGGAGCCCGCCTTGAGGCTGCGGCGCTTCCCGCGCAGGGGCGGGCGCTGTGCGTGAGGGGCGGTGCTGAGCGGAATGGCGGGCGGCGGTATCGATTTTGTGATGCTTTTGTGGTAACGCCCCGCGGCTCAGCCCGACTCCCGCTCCCGCAGCGGGTTGCTGTGAGGGAGCTGCCCGCACTTCCCCTGCACGCTGTAATTACTGGAGCACATAAAGCGGCTCCAGCGGGAATGTATCGCTTTTAGGCAGAAATAACTCCCAAGCCAAATAAAAGATAGAGTAGAAGTGCCAGAAGCAATGCGTAACGGGCTTTACTGACATTTCGCGTTGAGAAGCTCCAGCAGCGGGCCATAAATCTCGGTGCAAACGCGGTGAAAGCAAACGGGCCGTTCTGTGAGGGAACTTCCTCACAAAAGCGATGCGGAGCGGGCAAATCTGGCTGGTGAAAGCTGTGGGAAACAGAAACAGCCCGGCTGAAATGTTTTGGCTTTTTATGGAAGGTTAAATGTTGATCTTTGGTACTGCTATTAGCCGTAGGTGCAAGGAGAACATCGACGCAAGGAGGTCAGCCCTAGAGCTGCCTCATCCCATCGTGTGCTGATATCAATGCAGACGAGGAATGATAGCAGGTGACACAGCTGGGACCTGCTCCATCAGCCCTCTGAAAGCAGGATACTCACAAAATAACTAGTAACAGCCATTAAACATCAGCAGCTCGCAGACTAAACGTCCTCCTCCTTCTTGCTAGGATGCTGTGCTCTTTGCATGGGCTTCAAAAAATGAGCGCCCAGCATTTAGCCTTAACTTGGTTCCAGGGGAGGCTGAGGTTAGATATTAGGAACAATTTATTCTCAGAAAGAGCAGTGGGGCAGTGGCACAGCTGCTCAAGGGATGTGGTGTTATCACTGTCCCTGGGGGTGTTCCAGAACCGTGGAGATGTGGCACTGAGGGATGTGATCACTGCATATGAATGGGGTGTGTTGGGGTTGGACTTGGTGGTCTTAGAGGTCTTTTCCAACCTTAATGATTCTGTGAGTCTATGATCTCCTGATGCGTCATGCCAGAAGGTGGCAAATGGACCCGCTGCCCAGCTGCAACTTGAACACAGCTTAAAGCGTTTGAGCCAAAATTACAAACACAACATGATCCATAGTGCTCTTAAGTCAATGTGGCATTTATGCTTGCAAAATATGAGGTGCCGATATATACTGTATAGGACAATAAAACAGATAAGCACTTCGTCTGCCTTTCCCCTGGCTGAAATATGGTTATTGCCCGTCTCAGTAAATCCACTTGTGTGAGCGTGGTCTCCTTTGTGCTGAGACATCATGTGAGCATTTACAAACATTTACAACTAAGCTTAACTAAGGCAAAGTACTGCCCTGGGCAGCCAGCCTCGAACAAATACTTGCGTTCGAGAAAGATGTAAAAGTCACCAGTGATTCATTCGCCCTAGTTTTATAAAGGTTAAGGAGTGGGTGCTCTTGGAAATCTAAGAAATGTCTTCCACTGCAGTGAATTACTATAAGCAATTGGACAGTCAGGAGCAAAAAAAACGATGCAGAGACCGGGGTGGAGGGGGGAGAAATATATCGCTAAATTTGGTTTATGCAGTATTTAAAGTATGAGGAAAGCCATTCCAGGCAGTATAAAGCTCCCACACTTTAAAAGGAATTTGCTGCGTGACAGAAAGCTTGTAGAGTGGTTTCAGCATTGGTCTGATGTCATGTGCAGCAAAGCAAGGTGCATGCGTGACTTGAACCCACCGAGACAGCGATGGTACTGGCTGTGCTGAGCACATAATAGGATTTCCAACAGCGCAGGGCTGCAGAGCAAAACTAGTGCTGAAGGAGGTCACTGGTAGAATCCTCACCACCCTACCACTTCATTTTGAAGCGTGGCCTATCTGGCAAAGACTGCTATACAAAATGCAACCACTACCTTGTATTCTATTTGTTAAAGGATGGCATCATCGCCATTTTGCTGCATCATTCTGAAGCCTCGTAAAGACCTTCCTATAGAAATACACCACTGCCTGATGTTCCACTCATTAGCAAAGTTACCCTGTCGCTTCTCAGAAAGTAGACCACCACTATGTGACTCATTGCATGGCGGCGAATCAAAACAGAAGATTGAAAGAGTGTTCCAGGAGAAGCAGCCTTGCAGTGTGAATTCCGTCTTTCTTCAGATGTCTGAATCAAAGCCTTCACAGACTGAGCTCAGCTCACTTGCCAGGCCACCCTTGGGGTGGTTGTTGTGCATAGTCGAAGCTCCATGAGCTTGATTCTGAACCTCCTGGGTGGCAGCGTCGACTTGAAAGACATGGGGCTGTGGAAATCACTTGGTGCAGCAACTGGTTAGAGAGCTGTTAGAGAAGCAAATGTTAACATTTTGAATATTGAGGGATTTGATCCCCAGAAGGAAATAGCAATAATAAAAAAAAAGTCTATTAGGCTTTCAGACTAAGCAGCACAGTCAGCATTGCATTACACAGCGTTAAATTATTAGTCGAGGCTCAACAGCAGGAACATCTGCTGGTGTTAGACATGGCATTTTTAATTAAAGGCAGCAGCCGCCTGTGGTTCATCGGTTCTGCTCTCACCATGTGAATTGCTAAACCCAGAGGCCTCTCATACAGAAGATCCGACTGGAGCAGATGCTGTGGAGCTGGTGCTGCAGAGGGTGAGTGACAAAGTCCCCGAGGTGACAGGCAATTTGCACCTGGGCCCAATGGCCCAGCGATCGGCATCTATGAATCCTCACCTCGGTCAAAACTGCAAGGGATTTTGTGGAATTGAGATTATCCACCTGGTTTTTCCTCTCCTCACCTTCTGCAGGGTAGGAAAACAGGAGTTTTGAATAAAAAGCAAAGTAGGTGGGAGGAAGAAGGCCCCCCTGGGAGTTCTATTCCCAAAGGCATTAAGGTTTGAGAAGGGAACACACTGCACCCCATCAGCTGCACACCCAGACCCCTGGGCTCCAAGTAGAACCATAAAGTGCCAGCAGACTTCAGCCGAGGGAGAATACAGGCATGATACAAATTGCCCAAAACCCCTGTCAGGATAGGTAAATCTAACAAATCAAGAAATAGCTGTAGATGGAGCAAAGAACGTGCCTTCCTGCCTTCATGCACCCACTAAAACTGAAATGCTGTCCCACAGCCTAGCTCAGCACTAGGCAGCCTCCTCTGAAGGGATCCAGCATTTCAGTAATATATTACTTTGAATCTGATCACAAAAAGCAAGGTCCTGATTTGTCACAGGCGGGGGCAGAGGTCCAGGGCAGGCACCAACAGCAACATGGCGGATGTGCATAGCTGGCGTCCCATCCTGTTGGTGTGCAGGGGGCCAGGATTTCCCTCGACGAGTCCCGCAGATGGTGTTTGTTTGCTCAGCCACGATGAGAAAGGAAAATATTTGGTGCAATCTGCTAGCAGGCAGAGTCAGACATATGGTTGGCGCGCTGCAAGCCTGGGTGCTCAGGAAAAGGCAGAGCTCTGCAGCACCTTTCAGATGCTGGATTACCTTTGAGCAGGATGAAAGTGCAGGGAAACCTTTGAAGAAGTTGGCTGCAGATTTCCTAATGTACTGGGGCTGCTGTACTGTGACCCCTCTTATTATTAGCCCCACTCTAATTAGTCCTATTACACTATCATGATTATATTAGTGTTATTATAAATAGCCCAATTATAATTAACACGAGCCTCAGCTCAGGCTTAATGCTTGGTGAAGTTCTCCCTGGCTGGATGCCCATTCATCAGGCACACACAAAACATGGGTTAAAAATGACAGAGGCGATTAATGGTGATTGGCATGGGGGAGCTGAGGTGTGGGTGCAGCATCACTTTCATTCTCTTTACATCTGATTTATGGTGATCTTTTCAGAGATATCCTTGCAGCATGAAGCCGCCTGGAAATGTTTGGCCCAAACATAACATTCTTTTTATTTCCCTTTCAATTGAAATAAAAATAAATCCTCTAAAATGCTCTAAATATTCAGGTGTCCATTTCCCAAATACCAGCGCCCGGTTCCTGATCAGGACTAACCCCCACTAACCCCCACACTGTGCTGAAGGGTATTGGGGCCGTGAGCTGCCAGCTGTGATCAGACCTGCACACCCATCCCAGCCCATGACAAAGCACCGTGGGCACCACTCATGCCACTGTAAGCCTTGTTCTCTTGGGGTGATGTGCTGTAATCTTTTTTTTTCCCTAGTGGAGAGAGCACAGAAGAATTTCCTTTCTGTGAGGGCACCTTTGTCAGGATTTAATTCCCTTTTCCCCTGCACATCTTTTGAAGACGTACAGCCGAGCATCCCTTTGAAGCTCTCACTTTTAAATTTGCCTTTTGGCTGCTGTCTGCTCTGCGACATCGATCAGGGCTTGGCACCACCAGTTTCATCAAGATGAGACATTGCTGGGACTGTGGGCACTGGGCATGTTTGGAGGGAAAAGCCATGACTTTTTAACACGAACCCTTTCCTCTCCTTGAAGACTTCTTTTGGAGGCTGGAGGCTGCTTCCAAGGCCCAGGGCAGGACTTGATGATAGGAGCAAAACTCCATCCCTGTGGTCCTGGCAGCCCCAGGCTCAAAACAGGGGGTGTGATGGTGCTGCTGTGGTCTTGCTGTGGTGCAAGGGTGGCTCAGCCCCACTTTTAGCCTAAGCAGACCCAGAGTTTAGCTGCATATAAAATAAATAAATCAATTTTTTAAAAAGGAAAATTGGGGTGTTGCTATAGAGATAGGAGGATGCAGTGGGAGCACCAGCCCCGTGCCCTGCGCTCTCTTGCTTTTCCCCCAGGTGCCACATCCATGGGTGACTGCAAGTCCCATGGTGCCCAGCCTGAACCAGAGCAAAGCCCTGGGTTCAAAGCTCCCTGGGTGCTTTCCCTCAAAAAAAGCAAGGAGCAAACACACCAGTATGCCTCTGTGTGCTTACAGCTACAGGTATG